AATTGCAGCTTGTCATTAGGGATGTACATTTTCGCTATGAAGATGCAACAACCAGGGAGTCTGTCCCTTTTTCATTTGGAATAACTATTGAGAAACTCTCAGCTCATTCTACCAATGAAAACTGGGTGAGTGTTGACAACAGGTTCATGAGAATACTCACTACAGTGTTTGTGAGGGTGAAATTTTTTGAGTTAGTGAGGGTTTGAGTTAGCTGATAGTAAATAACTGAAAAAATTGGTCATGGGAAATCAGGTCTTGTTCAAGTTACTGTGGGGTTTGGGTTAACCAAGTGTGAGTTAGTGGGTTCAGCTGTGTTTAAAAAAAAAAAAATTAAAATGTTTGTTACTAGTATAATTATAATTATGTATATATATTTTTTGTGTTATAGAATCCAGAGGAGGTCATCCAAAATGAGCGCACAATCAAATACAAATTGATTGAGCTGCAAAAAATGGCCATTTACTGGGATGCTGATGTGACCCTTGTGGGTGATCTACCATCGAGAGATCTTGAGGTGGATGTACTTCTTGTTTTGTATCTGATTACAATTATCAGTAAAAGATGATGCATGATCAAGTTAAGTGGTGCTACTGATACACTACATGTACATGTGCATACCTGATTTAGCAATAATGGAAAATTATGCTAAATCAATAATTATGCCAACTATTTTTCTTTTAGCAAAAGTGTACTTTTTTGTACAGTGAATGATTCATATATATTGATTTACACAAAGGAGTTCTCCTGGCTACTCAATAACATGTCATCAGTTACTCTGGTCAAAATAATTACCTTTTGGCCCTTTAGAAACTTACCCCTTTATTACTTATAATTTGTATTTGTTTCATCACTTTTAACTCCCCTCCTCAGGGACAAGTTGATTACTGTACTTGTGTAGGTCAGGGACTTTGCATCCCCTACATGTATGTCTCTAAAATTTTGTATCATTCCCTTTCATATTTCTTTGTAGAATAATTCAAAGAAAATATAATTGTGCTATTTTGTACTCTACCTATAAGTTGTTATTTTGTTCTTTTTTGTGACCAAGAAGTAAATGAAGTACTTAATGAGCATTGTATCAGATGGCACCTGATCATCAGCATCATTTATGCACATGTGTAAGAATGCATCCTTACATTTTCTGTGGATTGAGGAGATCAGGGCCTCCCAAGACTACTTTGTAGATATCATTCAGCTTCATATAGTTATTACAAGTCATGGTAACAAATACTTTTATTTCAGAATGCCCTTCAACGAATGATTAATAGAAATCAGGGAGAAGCAGGCTTTTGTGTGAGTACTTTAAATTGAAAATGCATTTTTGAAACATTTCAGTCAGGAGAGGAACCTCAAAATGTTAAAACTATAACTACTCCTTTGCATTATTTTTGTAGAAACATCAATACATCTTGGAGCCGACAAGTGCACAAGCTAAGTTGAAACGCAATTCTAGTGCCTTGCCCCTCAGGTCACGGGAAATGCCACGTTTTGTGGTGGATGTCCATGTGGAGAAGATTCCGTTGTCACTTGAGGAAGCACAGTACAAGATGTTGATTGTCCTTATAGATGGGTTTGAGAGGCATTTCAGACAACGCCATTATTTTAAATGGAGACCAAGAAGTCCTATAAGAAACAAGTAAGGGTGCTGTAGCATAAGTCACCTTTAAGAATTGCTAAGAATTTTAAATTTAGGCTTCTTTGTACACCCTTGTAAATACATGTACTTTCAAGTAGCCCTACTATAATAGTTGCTTCATACAAATGGAAGTAGTTAATTGTGGAAGACAGAACCAGCTGTAATTTCACTTGTTGACATACATGTTGCACTGTAAATTTTTTGTTGGTTCAAAAATTTTCTTGTTTACCAGTTTAGTTTAGTTTCCATTTGTCTCAGATCTTGTCCCAAGATCTGTGACAAAGGTTAAACTTGTTTGGAAAATTTTAAGGTGAACCACTATCCACCAATGTAATGGCACCAACAATAATTCAAAAAGAGGTTGCCTGATCTATATGTCAATCAAGGCATGAACCCAGCCAAATAAATTACTGATAAATTGCTGATATACTGTACCTGTAAGGGATGCCAAGTTGGTGTCACATGGAAGGGTGATTGTTAAACAAAGATCTGCCTGCAAAAGAACAGCAAAGTGCTGAAGCCACAATTAATAATGCTGGCTTTTCAAATATTAAGTCAAGTCACCATCCTTAAAGCCTCTTACAGTAGGAATGCAATAGTGGGTTTTTCTTCTTTTTTGTTAGTGCAAGGGAATGGTGGAAGTTTGCATTTACATGCATCATGGAGCCAATTAAAGAGAGAACTATGCATCGAACTTGGAGTTTTGCAGTGAAACGAGCTCGTGATGTTGTAAAATACGTGAACTTATATTCACAGCATCTTATATCTGGTTCAGTGGAACCTTCAATCAAGGTACATGTACATTTTATCTGTAAATTGTTTTAATTTTTCCACATTCTAAAATAGGCATGAAGGACTACTTTGTCTTAAGCTGGGCACACTAACCATTGGACTATCATATCCTAGGTTGCAGAAAACATGTCAGTGATAAATTTGAGGAGTAAACTTTATTTTGATGTTATTTAGTATAACATAAACAAAATTTGAAACCTGAACAAAGGGTTAATCGCTCATTGCTTTAATATTTCTTTAGGAAGAACAAAATGGCATTGAAGATGAGTTAACATTTGAGGAGCTGGTAGTCTTGAGGTACATTGCACAAACAAGGGCAGAAACTGAAATCAGTAAGGTATATGTATAACACATCACATTATAATTCTTAATTGTGGGGGGCTGCAACTGCAATTGCACTCCAAGGTACTAGAATTCCCAACCGGCCTGCCCAGCCTGCTCAACCTGCAACCCACCTACATGAGCCCCCAGGTCCAAGCTTTTGATAAGTTCCTGATAAGCACCTGTCACACTAGAGCCAGATGGCTCAGGGGAAGTAAAAAAAACAAAAAAATTGAATAAATTAAAAAAATGTATATAAAATGAAAAAGACATATGTATAGGATAAAACATCTTATAAAATTTCAAAACTAAAACTTTTAAGAATACAAAAACTGTTTATCATCGACCTTCAACGGGTAAAAATTAATGATAAAAGGTAAAAAATACTAGGTGTGAAGTACAAAGTAAAAATTAAAAATGATAACTAAGAATGTTTGTTAAAAAGAATGTTGTATTGTCCGGGCAAAGGACAGGAATTGTTGTCCGCATTGGGAGTTAACTTGGAATGCCACGCTTCTAGAGTTTTTCTTGTTCTGAAACCGCCTTTGTCAATAATAGATGCATTATGCATGTTTTTTAAATTTCATAAAATATATATATATATAAATCATCAAAACACTAAAAACTGCTATCATCAATGATGACAATGCCATACTATGGTACAATGACGACAGCAAAAGCACATGGGAAAACAGTGCAAGAACAGATAAGAAATACCACTGGACAAGGGTGGCTTCAGGACCCCAACAACCACATGACTACTGAAAATACAACAGAATGCCAAAAAAGCTGTACAAATGCAAACAGACAGCAAGGACACTAACAGCACATCTGCAAAAAGTTACTGACCAGATTTGCTCCCAGTTGTTAACTTTGTTAAATTCCATTTACCTCTATTCAATTTCAATCTGGCAAGCTTTGAGCATAGAGAAATGCTTACATTTTTTAAATGGTACATATAATTTGAACTGAGGGATGCACAGTGGAAGACTTCAGTTACTGGTCAAACAGACTGCTTAGTAGAATTACTTTTGAATGGATTTTTTTAAAAATACAAAATAGATGCAGATTTTTTATGTACTTATAATCTTAGTTTGTATCAACATTTTTTAGCAGATGCAACCAGACAGTGAAGTTCAAGATTTACATAAGAAGGTACAAGACCAGGCTACTTCTGCCTCAGAAGGAGCATCTGGGGGTTGGCAGGGCTGGTTAACAGGATGGTACAGCTGGTACGGAACAGATACTACAGATGGAAGAGCACCTGGGACAACAACCAAGAATGATACAAGTCAAATGTTCATGGGAGAGCCTCCTACTACCAAAGGTAAGTGAAACACTGGGAATCAGTACAGGTGTGCCTCAAGTACATGTAAGGGGTGCTCTTGGTTGGGCCCCAATACAGGTATGGACTGAGTTTATGGCACACCATGACTTACTGTTTGGCTTCTGAGAGCCTCATAACAATGTAGGGAAAAGTTTTTGTTTTGTTGCTTTTTTATCACACTGCTTCAATTGAGCAGAATTCTGTTTAAATTTGTTATTCAGCACTTGAAATTTATCCAAGGCTGAGTTTTCCAATATGGTAGTAACTACAGTTGGCAAAAAAATTGTTGACACATTGACATGTACAACCCCTTATTTATTTTAATTTTAGCTACAGGCAACATTGAATGGGGAGGGGGGTCATTTCAATGATTTGGAGTGTGATAGAAACAGGAGTGTTTTCTACATGTAAATAGAACTCTTCAAACATGATGTGTCCACTCGTTTTGAATCTGATTGTAGCTTAACCTGCAAATGTTAATATTCCAGAGCAATCAAGTATTGGCCCTTGTGAAACTTCTCTCAATTGCTTAATGTGGTATGACTTACATGTAGCTCCACATTGGTACGTCGAGTGCTACTTTTTTATTCTTATCACATTTTGACATCATCTAGCTGTCTTCTTTTACTGAACAGACACACAGCAAGATGGAATTTATTTGTTAGATTGATATTATTGGAATTTCTTTGTTAATCTTTGTATCTATTGTTTTGCAGAGGAAGAGGAGTTCCTTGGTGAGCTGGCTGATAGTCATCTCAGTGAATCCATCTTCAACAGAGATCAAGTGTTTGCACAATTGAACTTCAGATTGGACACAGGATCCTTTAAATTGGTCAATACCAAACAATCAAACTCTCTTCTCAAATAACAGCATTATTGCCAGTTGTTGAGGTGGAATTTTCAGACTTGAGTTGGGCTTCAGAAATGCGGCCCCGCTCCAGCACTTGGGAGTTCAGCATGAGTCTGGGGGCTCTTTTTGTGCGAGATAAACTCACCACAGGAACTCTGTTTCCAGCTTTGGTTTGTCCTCAAGGTAGAGAGTCTCAGGTATGTTACTGATTTTTGAAATGATAGATGTTTAGAAGCTAGGTGTAGACAGTAAGTAAATTTTGCCATATCATACACCATGCATGACCAATAATTTAGTCTCTTTATTTCTTCTTTACTTTAAGCTGATGGTTGCCATTAGTTGCCTTTTTTAAGTACTTTTTACATAATATTATGTGTAGAGCTGCACTAGAAATCAGGATAGAGATAAAACAGACTTAGATTTTTCCCTTTTCTGAGATAGCAGTGCTTCTTAAGCTGCCCATGTATATGTAGTTATGATGTTTCATTTTATTGAAAACTGGATATCATGATGTTTCATTATATTGAAAACTGGTTATTTTGATGTTTCTTTTTTATTAAAAACTAGATATCATGAGATTGTTGATCTAGATCAATAAATTTTTCTTTGATACAACAGAAAGTCTCCCTTACCAAGAGACAACAAGCAACAGTTGTGAAAGGTTCAGTTGAAGCAATGGTAACATCTGCAGCAACTTTGGGACTCAATATTTTACAAGACATGAATGACCCAGTGTTTAAAATGAAATTTGAATCTCTTCCACCTGCAAGTAAAGTGGGTTACAGGTTAGCTTTAATCTTCCAACATTCTATTTTGCTCTTGTCTTGCATTGTGTACTTCTTTACTGTTACAGTAAAAGTTTTAAATAGTCTTTTTTTTTCTAGTAACCACCAATCTACTTGGTATGCTTAGCTCACACAATTTCATTTTCTCTTAGCTAACAACATTTGAAACATGGTCTCACTACAACTTTTTAACTTAGGATCTTAAATCATGATTCAAATGTCCTTTTCTAGGGATTTTAACTCTTATGTTGGTGTTATTTTCTTGACACATTTACAGTACTTCCAAGTACATGTGCATTTTGCTAATTGATGGCATTGTTCATTTATCATCCTCAACTTGGAGGTAGTTGATGTAATTGTAATTGAAATGTACCAAGCAGTGATCTATTAATGCCTAACCTATCTCATGTGATCCCCTGGCAAGGTAACGAGGTAGAATATACACATGTATATATCAGAAGCACAAACCCCAACCCTGAAATTTACTTTTTTGTTTGGTACTGTTTAGATTATCAGTAACCACCCAACCTCTGGATGTTGTATACAACCCCACAGTGTTGAATCATATCGCCGAGTTCTTTTCCCACACGTCAATGGAAGGTGCTCAAGCCCTTCACATTGAGAGACAGCTTCGTGAAGTAGCACGTGTCAGATATGAGGAACTGAAAAACCAGACCAGACATGAACTAGTTCAAACACTTGATACAATGATGGATGGATCAGATGTGGTAATGATGTCCTGTAGCTCACAATCATGTATATGTAGAAGACGGAAATTTAAACTGGCTCCTTTAATTGGAAATGGACCTTATACTTTTGAGAACCTTTTTTCGCCGATTTTCTAGTACATTCTCATCTTTAGGATCAGTTTTATCTTGCTATATCGGAAGGAATTTTTAAATTGCAGTATCTAGCTGACTGGCAGCCAGGTACGGTCTTAAATGTACTAAATGCCCGGCAGTTAGAAATTTTCACAGAAATTCCTCTGAAAGTTCTGTCAAACTTCTTAAGAGCATCAGATGTTTATTTGGCAATGTCGAACGTTTCCAAAAATTACCTTTTATCTTCGTTGTGGATGAATTTTTCGCGCTAGTGCATATCGTTAATATCGCTACGTCATCAACACTAACTTGATCCCTTTCTTATTTAAAGTTGTCTTTGAAATTCTCTTTCATTAATTTTAATGGTGACTGATCTTGATTTCCCGCTCCCAGTGGTTGTAAATTGTACTCAAAAGTTCACCACAGAATCGTAACTTACATTATTCAATGAGTGTGAAATGCAACAACAGTGAATCGTTGGGCCAAATATTATTCGCATGTGTTGTAGGGCCATTCAAAGAGGTGGGATATTCAACTGGACATTTCTGCACCTAGATTTCTTGTTCCAGAAAGCTTTCAGGACAAGAAAGCCTCAGTGGTGGGTTCCATATACTTTTTCTTGAGTATCTTACACTGTTTTCCAGCAATACTTGAGACTGTTGTTTTTATCTTTGGTATTAGTTAAGATAAAATCCGTGTTCCTTCATTACATAAATGCACATGCATAATGTATTATTTTGTGGATCTTGAAATTTTTAGTGCTTGATTTCAGTAACCTGTGTTGTCCATAATATTTTGTTGTCAGAGCATTCTTTAACATTAAGGTGCCACCTTTCTTCATCAGGTTTTGATAGACTTTGGGCACTTAAGTTTTGCAAACACTCAAGCTCTTAACAGAAAGAAAACAATTTCAGAGGGTCAAGACTCAAAACCCGAAATGGAAGGTAAATATTTTAAAAATTGGAGGTGTTAATTTCTATTTCATTTTCAATATATACCTTTGTAGCTGCTGGAAAAAGTGTGGAGCACTATAAAGCCCCAAGGGAAGTACAGATACATGTAAAAACAGGAAAAATAAAGACAAGAAAGGAGCCTTGCACGCGTTACCTTCTAAAGAGAACTGAAACTTTAAAACAAAAGGAAACAAATTAAGTGAAGTATGATGTTTCTTTAACCTCAAGAAAGTCAAAACACAAATTATTCATTGTATTCTGACTCGAATGGTTCATGAGGTCAGAATACTTTACAAATTGTTTGTACTCCAAAGCAAGTTCCATGTGCTTAATGCCCCTCGTTTCCTAATTTCTCTCCCTGCAATGTAAAATATGGAATCCTCTTGCAGTTATTTTAATTTGGAAGTTGTAGGTAAAGCACTAAGTTTCTTTTCTCATGTTCACGATGCAGATGATTCTTTTGTGACCCCTCCCAGTACCCCTCCGGTAGAGAAAGAAGAGGAATTTATGTCAATCAGTGATACAGCAGATGGTCTTCTAAGTGGAGTGAGTAATCAGACTATCCTTGAGAAGATGTACGAAAGGTATGCTGCAATTCATGTCGCTTGCACGTTTTTCAGTTTCCATTCGATGTATTGCATGTATTAAATTCACTGAGCACCAACAGTGAGCGAGATAACAAAACAATATCAAATTAGGTACAATAAGGAGGAAGTTCAGCTGTCAGACCTTTTTGGGGTTGTCAGAGATTTGGTCTTGGGCATGGTGGCCAGCGGAGCACACCCTGCTATTTGTAATACAGCGGTCAAACGTCGGGCATGCGCAGGAGGATCAAATTTGGCTACCCGCGCGCCAATTTCTCGCGCTAAGTCTTGAAAAGAAATCATAACAAGCAATTGCTGTCTCGCAAAATAAGCGAAAGAAAATTGGGACGTTTATAGAAATCTGTAAAAGGAAACAAAATTGAGTTACGGGTATCCTGTTGATTTTCTATTCTGTTTTGAGCTGCATTAAAAACGTTGTACGTTTTTAACACACGGTGACTTAAGGGCTTGTTTGGGTGTGTAACCTGTGAGAAAACTTGGTCCTGACAGCCTAAAGACACGCCATGTAGTTATTACAAAGTCAGTCGCATATGCGCAGACGTTTGATCGTTTTGTTAAGTTACTCTAGGTCTGGGAAACGAACCCTTGGGCATAGCGGCCAGCGGAGCAAACCCCGCTATTTGCGCTTTACAAATTAAAATGGCTTTGCTCCGTTAAATGAACTCCTGAAGTATTCTTGTTTATTTTGGTTTTGAGGTACACCCTAGACTTATCCGACATTCAAATGGTGGTGTGCAATGTAAAGGAGAACTGGTCAGAAGTTGCCAGCAAACCATTCCTTACAAGTGATGCTCATGTTGTGGAGAAGTTTACAATATCAATCCAACTGGAAAGGTGGGAAATAATTTTGATTGGTCAGAATACGTATAAACTTGTAGGTGCCAGTTCTCTTGCTTGAAAGTATAAAGTCTATCAAACATTGAGTTAAGTTTGTTTATACTGTTTTTGCGGAGAGTACACTCCTATACGATCGAAGCTATTTTATCATTTTTTTTAATCAAATATTTTTTAGAGAAAGTTATTTTGTATCTTGTGCAGGAGACTTCTCTTTACTGCTGATCCCCTGTATCCGGCAGTAAATCTTCATGCCAAACTACCAAGTTTGGTACTACACATCAATGAACACAAGGTAGGGGAGGAGGACTTGACACTGTAGTTGTACCAAATTAAGCCATTTAACACACCGAACAGGTGAACAATGTCTTCTTCATAAGTCTCCTTTGCAGCGGTTACTAGGGAGTTTAAGAAAACCACGCGGGCAACGACAACGGCAACGGCACTAAACAGAAAGTTAAATGAGCAGATCAATGGCTGTGCAAGTACGTTATAAATCCGGCTTTGTAAATTTCTTTGCGTCCTCTGCAAAACAACAACTTTGAAATGTTGTCTGGAGAAGGTGAACGACGACGGCTAATTTTTTTAATTTCTATTTCTAATTTAACGCTGTGTTCCATATTCAGTTTCGAGATAGTTTTGATAGTGAGAAACAAACTAAATGACTCTAGAGTATCGCGAGATTCGAAAGTAAAACATAAGTTCATTTCTTAACCGACGATGTCTACGGTGTCGCCGTCGTCGTTTCTTAAATTCCGTATTGGAAGTCCCTACGAGAGAATGGACTGCTACATGTACTGTAAATACTGTCTAGTAACGGCTGCACAGGAGACTGTCCTTTATGCGGTGACTTACCAAGCTCACCTTATCGTTGTAATGTGTCTAAGATCGTGCTCCAACGGGATCAACTCTTTCAACTACAACTGATAACTGTTTTGAGTTGAAACGTAGTAACTCCAAGGAATAGTCGTTAGCAACCTTCTCCGCATAAGCAGGTTGAGCGAAGACTACAGTAAGTGACGGACAATTTCTGTCTTATGGCTCGATTCATAATTTAAGTAGTTTTCACGCTCACTAACTTCCTTACTTTTTTTTTATCCAGTGTTTCGAAAAGCACGAGCAACTCTTTTATTCTGTTTTTGTTTACAACGAGCGTGACGGCCGGCTACTAAAGTCCATACTTGACTTCAATAAGCCGGCCAAATCTACACCAGTCGCTGCCCTTGCTTCCGCAGTCGTTTCAACCTGGTTTGAATGGCTGAAAATGATTGAAAAAAATTGATCAACCAAATTAACCTAAAACGGATGATTCCAGTGGGACACGACCTAACCTTTTTCTCTTTCTTCTGTTAGCTTCAAACCTTAACAAAGTGTGTGAAACAGCTGAGTAGACCGAAGGCATCCAACCCCACACCACCACCAATGACACAACAACGAATTATTGCCAGTTCTACTCCACTGCCCCATGTCGAAAGTGAGGAGATTTGTTTATTAATGACATTGTTTGATTGACAATTTGAACGATGTTTACAGTACCAACACTTTTGTAGTAAAAACTTGCAGTCCAGAAACTAGATAATTGTATATCAAAGATATAAATCCTCCTAATACAATTTGGAAAATGTAAAACCACATTGAAATGCTGTCACTGGTAAGATTTGTCGGATCAGTATCAGTATCTGGGCAACTGCCCACCACATCCTCCCCTAACTCAACAACAGTTAATTGACAACAACTTAAGGTTAATGTTGGGTTAGGGAAGGGGTAGGTGGGCAGTTGCTCAGAAACTGATATTAATCCGATTTCTCTTGCTATTCATTATATTATTGCAAAGGTGTATTTGCCATCAACCCTAACCAAAGTAAGTATTATCTCCGTTTTCCAAAAATTTCGTCATCAAATTTAGACTTTCGTATTATAAGTTCCGTTAACATATAAGCTATACTTTGTTTCATTATTCCAGTAAGATGTAATTCTTTTTTAAATATTTGAGTGCGCGCGGCCAATCGGTTGAAGACTGCAACATCTATTAACTTATCTGGTTCAGCCCCCATTTCAACAAGTGTCTTTTTCAATTTTTAAAGGAATTGACAGCAGCATGGATGATGTGTACTACAGTTTGTATAGTAGCAGTATCACAATTCCTGACATGGTGAAGGATTCGCCAACCAGGTACTGTCAGAGACCAAAGGAGTTACCTTGTCAGCCATTATGAACACACTTGTAAACTGCTGGGCTCAGTTGTATAAAGGACGGATAACGCTATCCAACGGATAAATTGCTATCCAGCAGATAAGTGATAGCAAAACGTACTGCACCATTTACCGGACAAAGATCTACCCAGTGGATAACGTTATCCAACCTTCGAACAACCGATGCCAGGCTTTTAAAAGCCAGTCAGTAAAAACGGTGATGATGGTATTGACTTTATTTATGTTATTGTTTAGGCGAATCAGCAAGTCCGCTGTAGATACAACATTGGAAGATAAAACGAAAGAGCTCATGGAAGAATCTAGAATGCTACTTGTTCAGTTCAGTATTGACAGAGTCTCCTTAGGTGTTCACAGCATGGGTAATGTTTTTGTTTACAATGCTTCATGTTCAGTTCAGTATTGACAGAGTCTCCTTAGGTGTTCACAGCATGGGTGATGTTTTTGTTCACATTACATCTTGTTCAGTTCAGTATTGACAGAGTTCGTCCTTGAGTGTTCACAGCATGGTTAATGTTTTTGCCGGTTTACAATGCTTCTTCCCAGTAAAAACTCAGCAACCTCAGTGGTCAAACTAGCCTTAATTAGAAAAGTGGTGTCGTTATGGCAACTTACGTGTCATTGATCTTTGAAAGTTTTGTTTGACACCCTGCTTGCACAATATATCGTTGGGCGTATTGAGTTTATAGTTACTCGTAGAAAAAACTGAGCCATTTATATATATGTATGTGTATTAAAGAAATTTTAAAAAAGTTTTTCCAGCCATAGATTCTAATGCCATTTGCGTGAGACTTGCAATCTGTTTGTACTTGCAGGTTGCTTGATAGCTGAGCTTCAAGTGCTTGGAGTAAAAGCATGCCACTTGAAGAGACCCTATGATTCAGTCACATCTTTTGCTGTTCATGGAGTGCATCTTGTAGATGCGATGCAGAGTTTTGGCCCTGACTACGAACTGCTTCTGTCTTCATGCAAACCTCACCTCACAAAATCTCCAGGAGACAACACTGTTATTTCTTCAAAAAGTATGTTACCAGCTTCAATTTACGTGGAAGCTTCTATTTATTTTTAATTACTCCCCCCCAACTAGGTGTGATCGGAAACAGGATTAGTTCAGTTTTCACCATAAATTTGTTTTATAACAGTAATTACAGTGGTCAGTCAAATTAAAGGTCAGAATCACAAGGAGTCAGTGAGTGTTCAAAGTAATTACGAGCGCAAGAAAACACGATTTGTTTTTTAGTAGAGGTTGCAACTGAGCGAATGAAGGGGTTCGAATTGTTTTTATCTCAGCGCGTTGTAAAAACCAAACCAATGCAAAGTCCTTTCAACATTTGATCGAAAATGCCACCTTACAACACCTTATAAGTTCCCTCTACTTATCAATAATCCGACAAAGTCTTGTTGAGCCAAGTGATTTGTTGCTGACCAAAGACTGCAGACTTTTATGCAGTTGGGGAATCCTTTTACTACTTTCACTTGCATAAACGTATTTATCTAATTAAACGTATTTATTATTTATTTAAACTTCTGACCGTGTTTTCGCCTTTAGTGGGATTCTCTTTGAGTTAACGCGTATACCAGCAGTAGACTTTGTTTGTGATATTTACTTTTCCTTCATGATAGATTCTAATTCTAGCCACCACTTCCAGAAGGATCTATCCCAGTTTGTTTTGTTACCTTGTAGGTGAAAAATCTTTCTCAGAGACGATAAGCAGCGCATTTTCCATAGTTGCTGATATTGTGAGGCCAGGCTCTAAGAGAAAATGGCAGGACAGTGATGCTTCATTCTCAAGCGAAACTACAGCTGTAATGGAGGAAGAGGATCTAATCACATTTGAATACCAGCATTATGATGCTGACAGCCCTTCTACCAAAAACAGAAATAGCAGTGGTGTAAATCTAGTGACTCTGAATTTCAACAAGGTCAACGTAATTGGTATGTGATACAACCACTTTAAGTTATGTAGGATGAAAGGATTGCCTTTGTTTGGGTAGTCCTTCATATACTGATCAGGGACCATTTTGCAGGCAATACTGTTTAGATGTCTTGAGTCAGCCAAAACGATAAAAGGCGTTCTGCAACCCTCAACGGACAGTTGAAAAACAAGCAACCCCCAGTACGTTTTATCTCGCTTGTGCCGGGCTCTCAGGTAGTGGAGATGCCAAAGTGCAAGAGCGGGTGAGCGAACGGTAAAGTCTCTTGAAGGAATGACGAGGAAGCTTTATATAGATCCCCAACGTTTTTTCCTTCGCCCAGTTCTTTTCCTCGTTTTAACAAACTGTGTTCTTGGAAAAGGCTACATCTTGTCGCGACGAATAATGTGTTGGCAGAAGTTTAAGATCTCATTTGAACTTTGATGGCGCAATTTTCAAAATGGTACTGAAGGTCTAGATGGAAAGATGGGCAGTTTTTATTTTCAGTATTTCCAACCCATACGTTTTTAATCGCAGTGGTGGAATCACTGCGATTAAAAACGTATGGGCGCGATTTTACAATTCTGGTTTAATCATAATTGGAAATGTAATAACTTTCTTTTTTATGATAGCAAACCAAGAAACCCTGGCAGCATTGGTTCAGTTCTTCAACACGGCATTTACTTCTGGTGAATCTGATGGTAGTTTTGGAGATTTGTCAGCATTGCCAGAGGAGTCTGCTACTGATTTCTACTCACCACAGCCTGATGTAAGTTCAAACGCTCATAAGGGTGCTTCTGCGGTTTGAGTAAAATGTCAAATACCTGCTCCGGGTCATTTAGGCACACTTCAAGTTGTTTTTCAAAAGAAAAAGAGACAAGGAAATGTAATTTCTCTTTGTACAAAATCTTCCTTAAACAATTTTTTTTAACGATATCATGTTCAGAAGATTAAAAGTAAAGCAAGAACCAAAATCCAGGGAATGTGACGTACGTAAAACGCTCAACTTTCTGAGGTTCCCGGGCACCAGTTTGAATAAACGCTATGGGAGGGGGGGTTTAGAAAATTTTGACTGGGACACGTTGCCCCCTAGCTGGAAATCCTAGATCAGACACTGCTTATCGCTGATAGCCTATTGTGTTGGTTTTTAGGATCAGGTATCCGAAGTGACAGAAGTGACTGCGTCCTTCAAGTCGATTAACGTCCTTGTTATAAGGAGCATTAAGGCGAACGGTGTTAAATCTGTGCGAAAGGTGGCGGAAGTGTCCGTTAGCGAAGTTCAACTGAATGCCTCTCTTGGAGAAAATCAGAATATCGATGGCTCTCTCGGAGGTCTCAGAATGACTGATCTTACTCCAGAGGGCTCCCTACATCGCTCTGTGTATACATGTGGAAGCCTCGGCGGAGGAGATGTTTCCCCACGAGACTCACCGTATTTAGGGTCATTGCGAGAAGACATGTTAGATGAACCTAGCGATCAAAAGGCTTTTACATTTACACTCTTAATTCCAAAGAAGGGTGGACAGTGTCCCGTTATTGCTATAGATGAAGGTTACGAAGGGGACTTGGATAATGCAGAGATTGCAAGAAACATTCAACTCAACGTACGCATGGCTTCCGCTCAGTACACTCACACGCACAGGTTCCTTTCAGAACTTTTATTATCGGCAGGAGATTATGCTGAATATGCTACCCAGTTTGGAGAAAGTCTGCGACAAGCTGCAAGTAATGTTGCTATGGGTCTTGTAAGTAAGAAAAGAGCGTTGGCAGAAGGACTTGGTTATCTTTCCTCGTCGTTTGTAACAACTGCTGCACAAGATGACAGGAGTTTGGGAAGTCGCCAAGGTAGCATATTCTTCGAAGGTGACAGTGACTGTCTTCAAGAAAGTTGTGACTTTGTGGACAATGTTCCTGTGAAACCCAACAGAAGAGTTTACACCTGCATCACGGTGGACTCGCCGGTTGTTCAGCTGCCAACGTCGTCCTCAAGTACGGAGATTCTTGTTGCTCATTTAGGCAGCATTACTGTGAGGAACACGCATTTGATAGAACTTGTGGAACAGGAAAGTGACACGGGGCACCTAACTGGTGTTGAGTATGACATTGATCGATTATTTGTGGAAGTAAAGGACATGAGCTTGTACTGCACAGCAATGGATACAAGTAGATCAGGAAGAGCGTCTTCATCGTCGTTTTCCGAGTCATTTGCAAGCTCAAAAAATTTGCATTCACCCAAATGCTGCAGCGTGCACATACTTCACAAGTCAGCATTTCAACTTATTATTGACCGTCGTTCAGAAGATGTGGGTGCATTGGCAATGGGTGTAGGTTGTGCGTCTTTGAACTTGAAAAAACCGACGATTCAAATGTCGGGAAAGGTCACCACTCCATTAAAACTTGAATTGTCAACTCAATCCTATCGTCAGCTTTTTGAGACTATAGATAACCTTGGCGGTAGTAAGGAAGCAGTGCCCATTCCTCCGGCAGCTGGGATGCATAGTTCCTCCATAGCTAGTCCCAATTCCCAGTCACCAAGCACTCTTTCTCCAAGGTGAGCCTTTTTCTGTCTTTCTCCCAATTATTTCCGGCGATTTTCAAAATGACAGAGAACGATTTTATGCAAAGTGCTATAAAAGTATTTTTAGGGTTTTTTTATATGAGTCACACTCATCTTCCTAAAGAAGAGTTACTCATTTATGTATGTGGCATAAATGAGTAACTCTCCTTTAGGAGTCGTGACTGTTGACTTCTAAAGAAGTTATTAGTTTCTCCTTTTTTTTACTGTCTAAATGATGTGATTATCTAGACTTTCAGGGACAAATTACAAATTCACTGCTCGTGTCTCGTGGGTGATAAGATAAGTGCCAAGGTTTGCTTTTAATTTTAATGTACATCGTTTGTTTTTTTTTCAGTTCATCAGCTTCGAATCTACAGGCTTGTATTCCTGACAAGGTGCTGCCAGAAAAGCATGTTACATTTATACCTAATCTTGTGGAGGAGAACATTCATGATGAGTCAACTGCTCACTTTGAAAGTGAATCTGATGACCCCACTCCAATACGTGCATTATTTGAAGTGCCGCACTTAAGCGTCAAGCTTTGTGGTGAGCTCAACAAAATTGATCACGACTTTGTTGACATAATGTTTTACGACTTTAATTTGGCTTATGAGCACACAAGACCAACTGTTACTTTGTTCAATGTCTCTCTCGGCGGTCTTCTTGTGGAGGATCTGCTCCAGGAGCCAGAATCTCCCTATCGTTATCTCATTTCGTCTTCTGCTCCACGCCAACATCACTTCAGAGAACGTTCTCTGTCTGCATACCCTTCAAATCTTTCCTCATCTTGTCCTGTCGTTTCTGAAGCTGGTCTTCGCTCGAATTTTTCTTCATCACTTCCGCACTGTCTTCCTGCTACATCCAAACAAGGGCCATTTCGTTCTTTGGCTCCGTTGAGACCTTTGTTAAAGAATCAAAAATTTCCTTCCATGCCTTCTGTTAATGTCACCTTGGACAGCGAATCATTGGGAGAAGACTTGGGTACTTCAAATACAATCATTAAAGACAAGAAAAGAAATAGCCTTGTACACATCAATGTCTTTTTGATTGACAAGAAAGATGAAGAATTTAGTACCAAGTACAACTCGGTAAGTGCCATGCGCAGACTCATGTTCACTGCATTTTGACTACAGTCATATTACAATACCGCTTTTGTGCACTGGAGCATCTTCACGCGCGTCTTTAATTTGTGGGATTACGCGCACTTCCAGTGCTTGTAGTTACGCGCGTGCAATAGAAAAATTTCACTCAGGCAGTGGTTTCTACATTAATACGTAATTACGCGCAGTGTGCGTGTTTCGCGCGGGAATGCGTGTGTCACGCGCGTGTAATGCTGCAGTACACGCGAGCGGTACTGTGTTATGAGACGGTATTATGTTCAGTCATTGTTTCAGTGTTGTTTGAAGTTTCTTTGTCTAACATTACGTAACCCTTTAAGGTTCATTTTTTCAGTGAAGGTTGGCAAGGTCGGACCAGAATAGAGATCCAAGCTCTACTTCGTCATGCTTGCATCATGAACAGCAATCACAATATTAGAGGACACTCTTTCGAGCATCCTATTGCTTTTGGTTACCTTGATTTATATTTTATTGAAAAGTTTGAAAATTTTAGTTAAGTTTATCCTAGAAGTTTTAGTTCAATTACCAATACCACATTTGGATTGACATACCGTGCATTCCTGCTTAGCTCACTATTTGTTAATTTATTTTTTCTGTTTTGGGTAGGTTAACCGAATCATAGAGGTGGACTTCAATTCTCTAGAGGCAAATTTAAATTTACAAACTTGGGTAATTGTGTTGGAATTCTTTGGAATTGGTGTTCCACAGCAGCTATCTGCTTCTCAGCCGTCAAGTCCAAACCCCTTATCTCCACAACCTCACGAACTAAGTGACAATGTGTACGAAAACCAAAAGGACACTCAAATGGAAGGTAAACTCTCATTCCAGTGATACAGTCATTACATTACAGGTTAAGTTGACATGGTCGAATGTTCTTTGGGCCTCACTAGATTTGCGTTCGGTAGCTCAGGTTAAAATAATCCTTCTGCAGCTACTAGTAAACAGTCAACTGGTTTGTCTCATTTTACCCTCCTCGCTAAAGTTTGTACACAAAGTGCTCAGTTAGCCTAGAGATGCCTAGATCAAACTCTAATGGTGTAGTCCTCTTTCCTTGTTATTCTTGATTTTGTATTGTTTAAGAAGTATCTTTTAATTCTTCGATAGACAAATAGTTTGCCTGACATAAAAATTTTTTTAAAAGCAGAGAACCTTATCATAAATTGTGAAGCAAAGGAATTGTTTACCTTTGAGGCGACGTTGTAATTCTACACTGAGAATCACTTTTATGATTAAATGAAATAAACTAAATTTAAAGAAAGCGACAAAACTTTTGAGTTTGTAAAACATGTTTCCACAGAAATTTCTGTCATCTTCAGTTAATTACCGTACAAAGCGTCGAAAGTTGAATTATATAGTAAGTAAACAATGCTATGACAACAAGAAAAGAGGTAAAGCATGAAAGTGTGAGAATTAAAAGGAAAGTTTTAGATTTACATGGTGTAATTGTTGATTCAAGGATGGTTGTTTTCTTTGACTATGAATAGCCTGTTTTATCTTGAGCTGAAAGCCGGTAGAGGCGTGATCTAAAACATAGAAGTTATCTGTAGAACACAAAGCGCAACAATGTGGAGAATCTTTCAGATGCCTTAAAGTGTGAGAGGCCCTGTCACTGACTAAGTGCTCTCTAACACGTGTGGAAAAATGGCGGCAGGTTTCACCGACGTAACAGGTATTACAGCCAGTACATACAAACTTATAAACCACACGTGAACGGAGCCCGTCAGGGACAGGGTCTTTCACACCAAACAAGTTACCGATTTTGAAGGAAGAGAAAACCAGTTTGATATTCAAGTCATTGCAATAGCGCTTAATAAAATGGCCGATCTAGCAGAGAAGTGGCCAATGTAAGGTAGCTTAAAGTAGAACGTAGGTGAAGTGGTAGGAAGGGAATTCCGGGGATGATGATTGTTTTGGGTCCCAGTGATGTAACAGTTTATAATCTTCTCGATTAAATGAGCTGGGAAAAGATTCTTTTTTAGAATATCAGTAAGATTGTTAATGTCTTCGCGAAACCCCAACCAGGTGTTATTAATCTTGTAAGCCCTATCATCATTAAGACACTCGTTGATGCTTTACCTTTTTTCTTGTTACTATTCATCTTAATTAGCATTGTTCTACTTACCATATAATTAAACTTTCAACGCTTTGTACAGTAATTAACTGAAGATGATAGAAGTTTCTGTCAAAACATGTTTTACAAACTTAAAAGTTTTGTCGCTTTCTTTAAATTCTTGACTTGCCAGCTGATATCAAGACCCTTTGGAAATAAACTGAACTGTTTTATCTTGAAAGGTATAGAACAGACAGAGGCCGAAGGCATAAACACTGATGTCAAATTTCAAGTGTTGTCTTTGACTTTGACGTTAAGTAAAATAAGATATCCCATAGCAAAAGTCAATGCCTTTGGGCTGTCCACGGAAGTAAACATGAACGATGAAAACTTTGTTGCCAAGGGCAGATTATCAAGTATATCAGTGACAGACATGTCTCCACATGGATCTCTGTACAGGGAAAAGTAAGTCACTAATTTTAATGACGGTGTAGTAATAGGCAGCTAAAAAGCAACAGTAGAATGTTTGTCTTATTCCGGTCTCTGAACCAGTTTGTTGATAGGATGTGGCCCAACATATACATTTTAGGCGTTTGTTTGGGTGAGTGAATGGCATATTGAATTTAGGGGACCAACTGACAGTTTTTGACTAAAAAGGAATTTATTCTACCACGCCTCAAGTTTCAACAATGGGCATTTCAAGTCGGCCGTTTTTAGTGCTTGTCAGTGTTTTCCATCCTTAACCATGCGCTTTCTGGTGCATTTTTAAATTTTAGATGTTTTTCTATTTTGTGAACTCACTGTTTGCGTTTTCCTTCATGATAAATTTTCAAGGCGCACATAACTATCTTAAGATGCAAAATTGAACAGTGCGGTCCATCTTTGATGTGTTTGGCGTTTGTCATTTGGAAATACAAAGGGGAAATTATCTGTCAGTTAGTTAGAGTAAAGACCCTAAACTCTGTTATTGGACGTATTGGAACAGTGCGGTCCATCTTTGATGTGTTTGGCGTTTGTCATTTGGAAATACAAAGGGGAAATTATCTGTCAGTTAGTTAGAGTAAAGACCCTAAACTCTGTTATGGGACGTATTTACATGTAATAAATATATTTAATCGTTGTTACAGAATAAGCGAGATTCTTTGAAGTTGTTTCCTTCATATAAGTTCTGTTGCACACTTACTAACTTGTACATTTTCATCAGATTTACAACGTTTGGAGATGAAGCTCTGAGTTTTAATTTCCTTAAGTATGGTGCCCCAGATCCTGACTTGCAGAGGGAGAATGACATGAGTCTCAAATTACGGATGTCATCTGTACGGTATGTGCATACTAAACGATTCCAGACAGAGCTGGTGGTTTTCTTCCAACATTTTCTGCAGCTCCAGGAAGTCCTAGGCAGGATGAGAGCTGCCTCGGAAGGAAATGAGGTAAGTCGTCTCTTGAAGCACTTTGAAAAATACCATATCACTCATGGCTGAACTCTTAGAAGAATCACTTTGTGCCTGAAGGCTCTGATGTTAGAAACGAGGGGTACCAATTTATTGAAAGTTATGTTAGTTGCTCAGACACACGGGTTAGGTCGGGGGCCTACGTTACCGACATAAAATAAATTGTATTGTATTGGTATCACTGTGGCACTGTGTTAGTTGCTCAGACACACGGGTTAGTGGCCTGTGGCACTGTGGCACTGTGGCACTGTGGCACTGTGGCACTGTGGCACTGTGGCACTGTGGCACACGGGACAGCCCTGATACCCCTTGGTTGGTTGTTTGGATGATACTTGATTTAGGCCTGTTTCGTTTGAGATTACGATTTTTATATCTTGAATGTGTCTGAAAAAATAGAATTTTTGATTATTCGTATCACTTCTTAAGGATCATGTATTAATATTTTTGTAGTGAGATAAACTTTGCACGCATTTTGATTGGTTCTTTCTAATGATTTATTAAAGGACAGACGCATAGATGACGTCATCATTTATCGCTTTGTTTCTTTACTATGAAAAACAAATAGATTCCATGTTGCTTTGCGGCTGTTTTGTAATACACATTTTGGTCACAGGCGATGTCAGAATGTGGTAAGAACGTGTGCTAATTTTTAGCTCTAACCGCAATTTTACATCTTCTGTCACTTACATGTGTGTAACTGAGTAGCTCTCATCCTGCCAAATGGAATCTGTTTGTTGATGTGAGTCTGAGCAACTTACTTATGCGTTAACAATGTGTCGGGGTTGTCATCTCAGGTCTCTTGGATGTTTGGACGTGGAAGTCGAGTGGCGCTTGACATCAAGGCAGGAAATCCAGTCGTTTTGGTACCTCGCTCGGCCAAGTCCTCGCACATGCTAGTGGCAGATCTGGGTAACCTGACTGTTAACAATAGCTTTCTTTGGAAAGGGCCACCAGACACATTGCCACATTCAAAAAAACCATCAAGGCAACGAGCATCATCTCAAGCAGATTCCGGTAGGTTAAACAGGATAGATTAAAAAAGCAATTTGCAGCAGGAGCTTGCAAAGGGTGCTTGTAATTTAATCAAGTTTGGCCAAACAAAACAAGTTGAGTCCCGTGGTTGCTATTAAAAAAGCCAACTTATCGCGGGGACTAAAAGTGTGTCCAGTGGGTGTTTTCAATCCCAGAGGATTAGAAATTATTTTGCTCCATGGTCTTCACAATTCTTGGAACTGACCTGTTTTATCTATAGAAAGGACCAATCCTTTCTGACGAATTTGAAGAGGTCCATGACGCACTGTACTAAGGTGAATCATTTCGGTTTTAATTGACAATTATTTCCAGAAGTAGAGGTGAATATCCACCACTTTCACCGACACTGAGGTGGATAATTGTTTTAATATATACCACACAGAAACCAAAAAAGTTTGTTTTGTCAATATACCCCCCAAGAAAAAAAAATGGACAGAAATTTAATTGCTGACGCGCGATTTTGTCTCTTCGACTGCTTGAAGGTGAATCGTACTTGTTAATGACTTCCGAACCAGCCAATTAGCGTGTGCGAAAAGCACCAGTCACCTGTGTGGTATATACTCAAATCATCAATTTCTCCTTTTTGTTTAAGGACATCACGACACTTGCTTGTTGGACAGTATGCACATTGAATTGGTTGACATGGATCTCTTTACAGCCACAAGAGTACAAGAGAACAATCAGCAGTCGCCTTCGAAGTTTTCATATAAAAGCCAGGTTTGAACTCTTGTACTAAGAAAAGGTTGACCTGAAATGATTCTAACATTTCTATATCAACATATTCATCGTCAGTTATAAGCTGATGTAGTTGTAGGTTAAGAGTCATGCACATTATCTTCGTGTGAATGTATATTTGTGTTCTTTTTATGTAAATATTTTTTCCTTTCTAGTGAATGTGTTGGAGTTTGATGTCCTACCGACCTGTAATTAACTCTCTTGTTAAAATGATACTTTGGTCAATAGGCTGCTGGGCTTCGCTCTGTTAGCCCCTTAGGATATTCCAGGAAGCAAGCACTCTAATTTTGTTTGTTTTTTTTTTCTTTCTTTCACTTTTTGTAATAAGTGGTAGGTTGAACAATAAAGAGGAATAGTAAAGATTGTCGTTGTTGATCTCTGTCTGTCTGTCCCATTTTCCTTTCACCTGATTGCGAGGAACTTTTAGCTGACGATCAAGTGTGAAGCTTTCTACTGTTTACTTGTTTGCAGGGATTAAAATTGCTGAAAGAGAAGTGCAAACTGACTTTAACAGTCGAACGTAACCTGGACGGGGCATCTAGTAAAGCTGGAGCAGGTAATCAAAAGTACACGTACATTCATGTAGTGCTGATGTTACACCGTCAAGCGTCACTTTCAAGGTGTGGACAGGTGTAATTAAACATGAAATCTCCACACTAGGGTGTTTAAGGCTCAAAAATATAAAAACAACTTAACCTTTTTCCCGATAAATTCAAGTACACGCAAGTGCTACTAAAGTTCGCTGTTAGGTTACTTTTTTTACATGAAATCTGCCGTACAGGTGGGACAATCTAGCAACTGAGCTACGAAACCACACATTAGAGGCCATGTTAGGTGTGGCTCTTTGGCATGCTGTTACTGTCTTTGGAGTGAACGTGGAAATACGTGTTCTTCGTCGGTAGGTGTAGCTAACATTGAACTGTAATTTAGTTCCAGACTTCAACTTCAGTGGCTGTCTTTCGTCCTTGTGTGCATCTTTGGATTACTCACAGTACTGCTTCATTCTTGGAATGTTGGGAGAAAACTTTGGAGAACCTTTGGAAGAATTTGAGAGACCGTCATCAGTCATCCAAGATCCTCTTGGAAAGGTGATAATTATATTAATCACTTAAATCTTTTCTACATTTAAAACAGAAAAGTTTACTCTTAGTGTCTACTTTGAAGTAGAGGTGGTGCTAGGCTTTAGTTTTTTTTTTAATTAGTTTGTAGTTAAAGTGTGCTGAGTTTTAAAGCGGAATTTATGGAAGGGAGGTTTTAGATAGAGCCTTAGTGCTTGTTTATTTGCCATAGTAAATACCCACAGTTTTACCTCTTTAAACTTTTAAAGAGGTCGGATCCTTGCCGCAAATCCTGCTTTACAGATTACTTTGAAATCTTGTATTTGAAACATCAACTAAAACTAAAGGATGATATACACATAAACTAGGAAAAGCCACATCAAAACAGCGCTTTAATCACGTCAATCTAACACTTACACTTAAGGCATTGCTATCATTTTTGTCTTCCTTCTTTATCACAAACGTTTTGTGTGTAATCTTAATTATTTAAGCAAACTAATCGAGATTTTCTGAAATCCAAATGGCCTCCAAGAATGCTATGTAACTGAGGGCCAAGAAAGGTTTTGAAAAGGTAATTGCTTCACCATTTTAGCCCCCAGAGGAAGAGAAGGTTTGGACTGTCCTGAGAATGAACATTGACCTCGTCAACGTTAGTTTGGAGCTGCTCCCCTTTCAACTGTTTGAGCACCCAGAAGATAACCTCGACCACGCCCAGCTGCCATCATTGGCCAGGATAGACTTCATTAAATCTAAATTCGAGTTTGAATCTTTCTCTGATTGGTCAAAGACTATTGATTTGGTCTCCCAAGAGGTCATTTTTGAAGACATGAGGCAGAAAGGTAACTTTTCAATTCCAGTGAACGCTTTCGGTTGCCCCGGGATCTAACAACAAATTACCTTCCCGATATCATGGTTTTTGTTTCACGATGTTCAATCGATCAAAGGATTACATAAATTTGCAAATTCAACTATATCGTGGGTTTGGAATGTAGAAAGAACTCCCGGAAACAATATTGTGGAACATTTTTTCCTTCGTCTTGAAAGACGATTCTACGATTTTCATAGCCCTGTTAAGAAAAGGGCCCGAACAACGTTGTTTGCAGTGTAAGAGAAAACAACGAGTCTTCTTGTTTCGTTATTAAGGTCATTCCACACAATCACTTTACCCATTCTTACCTTGTGCTATCACGTGCTTCATTAGGGAACGCACTTAAAATGGCGTTTTTTTAGTCGTTTTGTCTGATTGGACTTCTTCCTTTTAAATGGTTGCAGCTAAAAATGAGGCTGCTACCTCGTTTTAAGCACAAAATTAAAGGCCCCAAGAGATAAAAGACCAATTGGAAATGCTTCACAAAGAATCTTAGTGCAGGTTCTGTCCTTTTAATACTTAATTTTGCTGACTTCCTCTCTAGGTATGGACCTGGATGACTCTGATTCCTGTATCTTCACTGGTATTCTTTTGCCTAGAAAATTGCCAGCGTCCACCAAGGAGCAGGAGAATTCGCTACAGTTTGAGGTTCACTACAGAGACACGACTAGTAAAACCCTGCTAACGTTCTTGTTCAATCACAGTCGTATTATGCTAATCATCGATTATCTGCTTGATACGTACAACTTCATCATGTGTCGAATGTTCAAACCCAGTACAGGTGAACACACCTTACATTTTTAAATGGTTAATAATCTATAGTTCAAGTCTGTAACATTCATTTATTCAGAGCCGTTCGCTCATCTCTGCACGGGTTTATTACGAACCAACAAAATGACCAGCTCCTAGTTGGCTTGTTAGCTCAGTTGGTGGAGCACTGCACTGGTATCGCAGAGGTCATGGGTTCAACTCCTGAATAGACCTAAATTTATTTCAGGTATTATTTTAACTACTGTTTTCGTGACTGCGGGGATCAAACTCATTTTCTTTGCTTAATCTGCAGTTCAAGTACATGATATTTATAAATTTACAATCGTTTAGAAATGGGTAGGGAAAAATGGTTTTCGAAGGGGAGCTTCTATTTTTTTTTTTTTTTTTTTTTTTTTTTAAGTTGTGGTGATCAAACCGGTTTGTTTATCTTTTTCTTTGTTCTGGATTTTGATCTTGAGTGGGAGGCAAAGGAAAACTTAATATAAATCAAACTCGGTGAAAAAAAATTAATCCAAGGATAAGTTTGAACCACTGAATATACCTGAGGTCTAATCCTAACCTCGGTTTTTACGCAATCAATAGGCCTCAGGTTTTCTCTTTTAGAGGGTTGATTTAATTAAATAATTGTCCCTCCACTGTTAGCTTTGGGCCTTCTTGTCGCTGTTCACAAAAATAAATGTTCAGATAAGTGGTTCAGCTAAATTGGTTAGGACTCGCATTTGTAAAAGAGCAGCTAAACTATGTTTAAAAAAGGATTGGATAGCAAATTTTGTTACTTCCACCCATACTCGCAACTTCTTTTAGTCAAAATTTTCGTTTGTATGCGGAAGTTCGTGTTAGTGCTTCCGAAAAACGTCGTTTTCAATCAATGCCTTTAACCCCAGTTAAAAACTGTGAACTTCTCATTGGCGATCTCTTTAAAATTCGTTTTCTTTTCGATGGCTATGAAACAATCTTAATTGTATGATATCCGTCGAAAAGAAAAGACTTTTCTCAAAAAAAACACGAAAATAGAATTGTAATTTAGTGGTAGTAACGTTACCTTTAACCTTCCATGCAGAATGTCTTGAGAGTTTGTTGGGTTTGCCTTTCTACCCCGACATCAGTATCTATATTCTTAAAACAATTCTCTTTACATTTCCTTTGGTACTGATAAGGAGAATTCGTTTAACAATCAAACTTCTTAGGTTGGTAATCATTTCCTTTGTGTTCATGATTTTAATGAATGATTTAGCAGTAGTACTGTAAAGAAAAATTAGATGCTGATTATTGTTAGGATTGAAAGTTCTTAGTTATGAGAAAGAAACAGAAAAATAAAGGCTTGACTTAGTCCTCTCTTGCTGTAGCTGAAGACAGTTCTATGGACGTGCCAGAAGATGATGGTCCCGCCAAGCCATATGAAACACCGCCTCCGTCTGCCTCAGGGGTGGCGACCAGATGTGAGATGCCAGCACAACCACAGGTGGACAATTTGTGCTAATAGTAATTCTTTTCAGTCGTGTACGTGTTGTTCGGCGTTTCAAGAAAAAGTAAAAAGATGCAGTCACTTTAAGTTGGGAACTTCCGCGCGGGATGTTTTCGCCAGGTTACTAGGTAGTCGCAACATTGCGCTCGTTGGCTGAGGGGTTTGATACGGTCGAACCTCCAAGCCTTAAAACTCGCGTCAAAATACGTTTTTAACCGCAGCTAAGCTCAACAAAAGATGGGGGCTACGCAACTATACTTTGAGGCGACGGAACTTGTGGCAATCGTGCAATGGGGCGACGTCACCTGAAACCGTTGTGCTGATAAACATTTGATTTTGAAATGTCGAAAATTCAGCATTTGTTCAAAGTGTTTCATTTCGTTAACCTTGTGTAATCTATAGTAAGGAGCAGCATCGTCGTTTCCCGGAAAACTGGGTAATACTAACATAAGTGTTATTTTAGATATTTTTAGGATGCTAAGTTCTGGCGTTCAAACCTTAACTTTTGGTGGCCCTAGTCAGTTTTAACTCGCCACTGGCGACCGTGCGACCGCCAATTTTTAGCCCTGGACAGTGCGCGCCAGTTGGTGTGATGTGATATTAGAGTTTTGATGTTACTAATTTGATTACTTTCAGCCTCAAAAGACGTTTGAAATGAAAGTGAATATTTCGGGAACGGAGCTCGTTGTGTTGGAGAATGTGAACACTATGGACACCCATGCCGTAGTTTTGAAGGTACAATCGCTAACCTGTTGTAAAGTGAATGGATAAGGAATAGTTGTGATGATTACATCATAGTAGTTTGCTTCTTCATTAAGACATTACCATGGTCGGCACACTGAATTCTGAATCTAAAGCTCGGGTTGGAGCCATATCTGGGTCTTTGTGGCGTTTCTTGGCCAAGACACTTTATTCTCACTGAGCCTCTCCCTACCCAGGCGTATTAGTTATTCATAGTTGTCTGCTACTACTATGGGAACTCGACGAAATTTTGGGGTTAATCCGCGATGGACTGGTATTCAATCCACGGGGACCATGGAAACCGGCCTATGAGCCAGCGAGCCTTTGTTTGTTTGGAGACTTAACCCTACTGTTCCCTTTTTGATGAAATATCTCAAATAATATTGTGAAGTGTTTTCAATTGGAGAATAAAGTGACTTAAAAACTTTGTACCCTGAAAGACCATGGTGACTTATATGTAATCGCATCGATTAGAGATGTATATATTGTTGAGTCCTGTTTGCACACATTAAATCAACTTGTACCCGCTGCATAGATAACAGCTGTGTTGGCATGGCGCCCGCATCTTCAAAGTCAGAAGTGGCTGTCGTGCAGTATCCAAAACCTGGAGATGTTCTCCTGTGTTTTGTCCTGTGAGGAAGAAACCGCTCTGTCGATTATAGATCCAACATCTGCATTAGTTGAGTTGAACAATTCCAGGAGACAGAAAGGACGCAAAAATGCCGGGTTGTTGGATATCACAGAGGAACAGTTGCCTAGTTTGGAGGTAAGTAGCCTTTTGTGTTTTCAAAACCATAATTTTTTTAAAAAGGAGATACTAATTTTGTTGATGAAACTTTTTGGGAAATTCTCGTTAGTGGTCACAAGAGCGCTGACGTCCAATCTTGTAGAAGACAAAGGGTGTTTGACACCAGCGTTGGGTTTAAATTTAGACGCATATGAGATTCTCTGTCTTGGCTTTGGTGGTTTTCCATGATTACTTGGTAAGACAGGGAAAATAAAATGGTTATAGGGCTTGAAGTTAGACCTTCATGCACTGTTTAGATTCCTTTACACTGTTCTGCAATAAGCTGACCCATGTGTTAAACTTACCTTTAGAAAGCGTTTAGGTGGTTATGTCTGGTGAAAGATAATGAAAAAAAGCCATCTTTGAGCTCGTTTGTAGAACAAAGAAATATTGCAGTATCTTTCGGATCATTGTTCTTTAGTTTAAATAATTGTGTTACTTTGTACCCTTACTTTTAACCCTTATTTTCCATGTGAATGCTTCAGATCCCCTCAAAATGTTTAAAATATCTAAGTAAGTATTGTGCTACAAAAGGTAGCAACATAATTCGATATATCAGAGCGATGAACCCGCAAGAACGCCTTGTATTTATGTGTTTTAGATCAACCTTCCAGGACCGCTTACCATGCGTGTGTCATATAACGACTATAAGTTGTACCTTAGTATCCTGGATTCTGTGTCCAAGCAACTGAATAAGGCTATTAAAAGTGAAGTCAATTCAAACGTTGCCGAGGAGGTGCCTGATCATGAGTTTGATGGTGAGTTTCGAGGTCATGTTTTAGGCAGTTTTACTGCACTGTATGCTGATACTTTCATTTGTTCAATGAAAAATGTCGTATTTTACTTCGTAAAATTGTAGGAAACCACAAGCCAATCATGAAAAGGTGCAGGGAACAGAGGACTTTTTCCTTTTTCTAATTTCCTGAAACAAGAAGGATATGTGAGCACTTGAGACAGCTTTCAGACGAGGTTGTGTAAACACCGATAAAGTCCCTTGATGCTCCCTTATAAACTGCTCAAATAGAACGTGCAAATCAATTATTATCAATTATTATTGATTAGCAGTTGATCAACATTTCTTTTGCTACCAAAGCGATGTCAGTAAAACGTCTTCAAGAACTGGGCTTTAAAGAGGCAGATTGCATCAGAGCTCTTCAAGCGACGTCAGGTCGACTAGAGGCTTCTGCCACTTGGCTTCTTGAGAACGCTACTCCTATCATCCAAGCACAGAGCTCCCAACAGCAAAGCAGTACACAGGGTTGGCAGTTTGCTGGTTTTGAGGTGAGTTGAACGCTTTGTGCCCAGGCTTGGTGTGTCGTAAAGCCACAGTGACACTGCTATGATTGGCAAGTATACTTATTTAGAAAAGAAAAAAACTTGTATGATGTAAAGAAGTACAGACGACTTGTTGTAACAAAATTTGAGTGTCCATAGTAGAATTCTTCGTAGAAGTTTTCCTATCAAAACTAATCATTCTTTTTTCTCGTAGACGAACAAATTCTCTCCTTGGCTTCTCTTGGTTTGTCATGTTTGGCTTTAAAAAAGCTGGCAAGGCGAAAAGCTTTTGGAAATGATACTTGCCAAGTAAAACGCACTAATGTTAGCAATCGTGTTAAAGGTTTCATGATACGTTGGTACACAAACAAAGCTGGTTTACCAGGGCTACTGTTGATAAGTAATTCAGCTGAATATTCAAGATGTTTTTCAGTCATTCTTAGTGTTGTTTGCAATTTTAAGTGAGCCAATTGCAAATGATGCGCTTTCTAAGCTTTGGCGAGCTGTTTTACGGCTATCGGCGAACCCCATTGAGATTCTCTTTGTTGTACCCTGAGATAGAACAAAGAGCTTGCAAAACTTTGACACTAACTGTCTGGGGTTGTTTTTCCCGCGGTAGGTCCGCGCGGGTGCTGTGTGTATCTGCCTGATTGATGACTGTGGTGACAGTGACGTACCACTCATTGAGTTCAGCGCTCAAAGTATGTTGGATTCTTCGCATTTCTTAAAACTTAGATTCATTTGCCTCCCCACTGTTTAGTTAAGTTTTGTAAGCGTCTGTATTTATTATCCTTCAATATTTTTTTAACTCGCGGGAAAAATGTTTGCGAAAAGCTTACGTTTGCGGCGTAGGAAGTTCACTTTCCAGTGTTCTCTATTACGATTTCATCTACTGTTCCTTCTTCTGTAACAACCACATAACGCTTTCTCATCTTGAACTATATTTTAAAAGCAGATTGTTTCTTACTGGAGTTAAGGTTTGAAAATTGGGAACATCACTTACGGTATATCCTCGGATATCTCCCAGTTTAACCGCGGGATATTCGGTCACGTGATGCGTTTTTGATCAATCGCGCGGGAGCAAAAATATTTGTTGGATAATAAAAATAGATACTGGTAAGCTGTCAGGGAAAGCTGAAAAATGCTAGAAGGTAGCCTTTTGATGGAATGGCATCCGGTCTGGGGTGGCCTTGTTGAGTTGTGCTTCTGAAACCGGTATAAGCCTCGGAAGGATGGGCCCTGTACCTCGTAACTTGGCTTCTTTTTTCAAACAGCAATGTATCAATTGACAGGAGAATTTTCCTTTCCCCCTTTTTTTCGGCCTCTCGATAACCTCTTGGACAAAAATGCTTGTCCCTTCCCAAAGTTTCTCTACTTTACAATCCCAAGGTGGTGGCTCTACATTTCGCGTTGTAATGTTGACCGTTCCCTAGCCAAGCTAAGGTTTATTGACTACCCCTGCGGTAACATGCGTCATTTATGTCCAAGCATTCCAGTTCCATTTCTTGTCTTTGTAAGCGGGTTTCTCATTCGCGCACGAGATTTTGAACCCCCCTTAACTGGGAGACCCGGATTTGCTAATGATACGTAGCTTTCAGTTTTCTTTATCCGTGTAGACCTGTACTTCTGGCATGACCTTCAGTCCACCGGTGATGGCGCGGCTCAGTGTACTGTGATAGTGCAGTACTACAACAGAAATGTGTCAGACTGGGAACCTTTCGTGGAGCCATGGAAGTAAATATGATCGTCTAGATTGCACTGGTCTTCCCTAACATAGCTTTAGCTATACGATGTAGAAATTTGAATCTGGGCCGGGTTGTTCGAAAGGGGGTTAACCTTACTCTTGGATTGAAAATTAGCCTTAGCTTTATGACTCAAGACTAACGGGAAAAATGCAAAAGAAAAATTAATTAATTAAACTCAATTTAAATTGACATTTATTCCGGGATAGGTTAATCGTGTTTTCAACAACCCGCTCTGAACAAATGATGATTGACGTCATGCACGATCAGAACGAGGGCTCTCGTCCGATTCGAACCAATTTTTCGCCTAAGCCTGGTTTTCAAAGGATCGCACGGATGGTCCCCATTTTTTCGAAAACCTGGGAGGACTGGAAAAGTTCAGGCGTATTCATCATTGGATTCTTTCGATCTCTCTTATGGGCTAGGTTGCTCATGGAGTCCTTCTCACTTTTAAAGGAAATCTCAGTCTTAAGTGTCTAAGTAATCCGCAGCTTCTTTGGTTTTGCTTTACTTCACTATTTAATCGGTCCAGAAAACTCGCGCCACTTTCTCAACCAACTGTGTTAATGGTGGACTCCTCTCTTTCTGTACTGTCCTTGCTATGTTTTTTGGTTAAGACCCCCATTATGCTTGTGTTGCAGATGTCAATTGCACTGGCAGGAGCAAGGTAAAACACCAAGTAAAACAAACAGGTTTCTGGCTAAACTGGATGGTGAGTTGTGGTGCACTACTATGCTGAACAAAATCATTTGGGAAATCAGTCTCTTACACATTGCCTTTTTCCACCCTGACATCTAATGACTTACGGGGATAACCTGTAGCAAAAAAACTCATCCGGGGTTGGGGAAGGAATGGTAGCAATGTATTTGTATTCGTTATATACTTAGAGATTGGGAGTAAACTTAAATTCTCGCGGAATGGGCCAGCAGCTCCCAAGTCATGCTACAATTCACTGAATAGATTAAGATAAGAATAGATACAAAATAATAGATAAATAAATCAACATTCATTCATTGCACTCTCAGCCCCAGATCGTCTTGATGTCACGGTTACAACTACTCTTATAAACATGATCAAACACACCATTGCCAGTTGGTCTGAAGACTATTACAGACCTGATCCATCGCCTGTGTCAGCGGTGGCTTCCACAGAGACCCCCAGCCTTCCCTCGAGCCGGAGTGACAGCAGACATGACAGTCTGAATCAAACCACAAGCACCGAAAGTCCTCTTAGCAGTCCGACAGTAAGTAGACCAGAGTCCAGCGCGTCCTTGTGGTCCACGGGATCAGGATTTCCTCGTCGGCGATCACCCTTCGTTCCATTTGTACTCAGAAATCAGACAGGTTTGTTTAATTTGGTTTTGTCTGTTGTTCAGATACCTGTTTTGAAATAGACTACTCTTTTTAGAAAGCTGAAATATTCGCTATTCTATCTTACTTAATGTCTGGTTACTGAGCTCGAGATTGAAGAGTGCTTTGTTTTTCTTTTAAGGGCATACGTTTGCACCAACTTTTTGCAGGAAATTTCCAATCCCTTTTTTGTCTAGTGTGTGAACGAGGGACGACAAAGTGTTTGACTTGGTTTCAAAATGTTTGGGAAGGCAGTTGTCGACCTTAACTGTTAACTAAATACCCATTACATTACCAGGTGGCGGCCTCTCCGTGAAATAGTGGGTCCCGCCTGTGTCCTGTCCTTTCGTGTTCACAGACTAAACATAAATGAAGTTATCGATCGCAAAATGCGAGATAAGTTTCTTTACTTATTTTTCTGTCGTGATCAAAAAAAGTTTTCTTTATTTGTCTTTCCAAAACTTGTTTTACCTCGACTAGCCCAGTGGATAGTCGTTCTGGAATTTTTTCAGCCTAGACCCTTTTTTTAATAGCCCTAGGCTAGTGGACTACCGCTAATGTCGAGCACTGGAAGGTGTATTGAATTCTTGCGTGATGTTTTTAGGATGTGAGATGTGGTTCAAGACAGTAACAACGACTCCATCCAAAGTGATCTTGAAAAGCACTGGGCAGGCTCTTCCTGGTTTACCAGGCCCCAGGTCAGAAAAAATATCTGACTGGAGTACAGTTTCCCCTGGGGGCGAGGCTCCCTTTGAGTTCACATCAGGAGAAAAATTGCGGCACAGAGTAAGTGGATATGTGAATCAGAAATTCTATAAAAAATTTACAAAAGATGTTCAACAGGGGAATTTTCCATTTCCCCTTTTTTAGTGGCCTCTCTATAACCTCCTGGATAAAAATTCTTGTACCCTTCCACCTGTCTTTTTTCGCTGTCGGGCTTTTCGACACAAACTATGCATCTTGGTAAGGTAGAATGGTAATGTGGGTGTACGTAACAATAGTTTTGTCACTGAATCTATTAAGGTAGTACACGAGATTATTTACTCTTGGTTAGTATATGATTACATATTATCGATTTGAAACATGAAATTGCGAATTTAAGATTTTGGGAAAGGTTAGAGAGAAAAAAGAGGACAAATGCGTCGGAAAGCTTTTATTGACAGTTGTAAGTGACAGAATACAAAACTAAAGAGAAAGTCGCAACAGTATGACTGAAACAGTTTCAAATTTCCGTCTAAATGTATGGGAAGAACAAACAAGTTCCTCAACAAAGATTACAGACTTGTGACTGCCTAACATCTTACAACGTTATTAGAGTTTGCTATCATATCGCTCTTGTTCTGAACGCCTTAAAGATTAGTAGCTTCACATTAGAACATCGTTTTAAATATGGAAGTTTTTATTTAAGCAGATGTTTTACGATATTTTCCCTATGTTAGGATACCCATGAGTTCAACGTACATCAGGTTATTGTTCAAGTGGAGGGTTGGGCATCACTCTCCCCAGTCTCTGTTGATAGAGTCGGTACATTCTTCAGACAAGCTCGACCTCAGGAGGTGGCCAATAAATCTCCGGTAAGACTAGCGTCTGCTCTGAAATTAATTTTGTTTTTCCTATTTCGAAAAGTGATGTGACCAAGTAAACAACAGAGGAAGCATTTAGACACCAATTTTTTTTTTTCTGTTAAGACTGCTGTATTAAGATACGGTGGGCTACGCCTTGGCCGAACGGCTAGCTTTGCCGGAAGGCTTGGGTTTGAGCGTAGGCCGGGTCAATGTTCCACTCAGGAGTAAAACTGGGTACTAGAAAATTGTTAGTGAAATATAATTAAATGGTGGTGAGGGACTGGTAAACCTCCGATGAATTAGAGTGGTATTCAGGCGGGAAATGTAAATTTCTTGTAGGTTCATCTCACGAAAACCAGGAATAAGCCCTAATTGGTATGAGCCACTTGGCTTCGAGGACTACGTTATTGCAGTTTTAATTTATTCCTGTTTTATTTTTTGTTTGTTGTTGTATATTTGTTTAGGGAAGTGATCTTCAGCCAGCACGGGTTGTATTTGATGTTAGTTTGGAAGGCAGAGCTCGAAAAGTAGTCACTGTTAGATCTGCGCTGACGGTGAAGAATAAAATGGACTTACCCATGGAGATAAGAATGCAAGGACTTACATCTATGCAGGGTTAGTTTGATGAGCAGCTCCTCATCTGTGTCCCAGTATTGTTCAATTTCTGTCACACCTTTTTCAAGAAGTACACTTTAAAAGCGTCTTTTGTGTTGCCGCTTGCCTTCTGGGCAGAGTCCAGGCTTCATCAGAAGATTAGAAGTTTAGGAAAATGAACTACGCTTTTTAAAAGCATGTTTCGACAGTTTTTCTGTCATCTTCAGTTCAGAATAATACAAAGTACAAAGTTGAATTTAAAGTGTATAACAAAATGCTGATTGGACGAAACAAACAATACTAACAGAACAATGCATGCATTCACAAGAAGTTAATTAAGAAATTCTTATCTTGAACGGCTTCGTCATCAATTTTGGTGAGGCAGTTTGATCGAGAGGTCAGCTCATCGAGCTCAGATTCGGGGATCCTAGTGCGGATTTCGATCTGACCACAGTTAGATTTGTTTCTGAGTTGTCCTGAGTTCATTTCCTCAACCACACTTATAAATAGTCAACTTAGTGGTCAGCCCTCAAACACTTTAGGCCGATTATTTACACGAGGTCGAACCGAAACCGCGGTTTTACGTAAGCAGTGGGCCTTACGTATTCTCTATGAGATGGTTGTTTTCACTAATAAATGTACTTCCACTATTAGCTTTTGGCCGTCTTGACGCTGTTCACAAAATTAAATTTTCAGGTAAAAGACTCAGTGAAATTAAAGATATTTTAGAACGCGGTTTCGTCAAACCCTAAGCGCCCTTTGGGTTTCAGTCGAATTATTTATTTCGACAAATTTTGTGAGTTGCTTGTAAACCACTTTAGGTAGGCACGGATAATCCAAATACATACAAGTACATTTTACATTTTCGTTTCATCTTATTGAATCAATTTGATTCGAAATTCTTGCCTTTCAGGGACTCTATCTCTTCCAGTCGTATCTCCGGAGTCTTCAGTTGCGATACCACTGCGCTGTACCTCTTGGCAGCTTTACCTCCGACCTAGCGGGATGGGGGTGGGGTTTTGCTCCCAGCCAATAGAATGGAGAAGGGTATTAAGGAGTCATACTACGGAGGGATGTGCACGGGAATGTTATGCTCTACCCTCCTCTGGCCAGCCTGAAAAGAAATTCAGGTAACGGTGTTCTCAACAGCTTTCCTTCTCAAATTTGGGTGCGTTGTGATTAAATGAAATGCAATGAACTTCACGTAACCAAAAAAAAGTTGGATATTTAAAAACGTTTTCTTTAAACTTGTCGGATTATCAAGTCTTTGTCGGCTTTTCCGTGTTTCTTAAGCGTGTCTTGAATCGGTCTGGGAATGCTACTTCGTCTCTTGAATGGAATGCAAGATCATTGCTAGAGCTCCCTTGAACCTATTTCTGGTTAAATTTCCAGAACTTTTTGCAGGTATCTGCTTGAACTTCTTGTCAAAGATAAGCTCCTTGAAGGGGAAATGTCCCCTAATCAATTCGCTTACCATTTGGACTAGGTATTTTAAAGTGATGCCGTTATTTTGGTGTTTTATTCAGATGCTTAACGTGGTTCGATTGCGAATGACAAAATGACTCAAAACCAGTGTTACTACTTTAGTTTGAGGTTGAAAAGTTAATGGCTGAAAAAGTGACATTTACTTCAGTTTTCTACTGATTTCTTGTGATCCTTCAGGTTCTGTGTGGCTGTTAAGAGAGAAGGCTATCCAGAAGACATTTTTCATCACGAAGGCGCTCAAACAAGTGGTCTCAATGTGATGCCTCAACCGGGTCACACCCTGACAATCATGTACCCAGTGATGCTAGTGAACCTTCTGCCGTGTGAGTTGAGCTACCAGGTCAAAAATACACCCGCTAAAGGAAACCTGAAGGCTGGAAAGTCTGTTCCTTTGTACACTGTAAGTACAACCTGCCAGCTTTAATGTTTTTATGATGAGTTATGGACAAAATCACGATATATCTTAAAGATCCCGTGAAACGATTTTGAAATTAAATATCCACTGAGTAGTGGTGTGGTGCGAATCTAGCGCGGAAAAAGTACGCACTGGCAAGAAATGTAAATTATAGCCAAACCAATTGGAAGAGTTAAGTCTTGAAACAGGAATGGTATACGAATCAAAAACTAAACTGAATTAAGATTTAAAACTAAACGAACCTGAACGTCAGTTAATGTTCCTCAAGTCAGTTTTCTCTTTTATCTTTCTTTTTTTTTCCCACGTGAACAGGCTGATCCGGAGAAGGCTCTCGATCTTGGCTTCAGCATTGAAAACTTCACATATTGTGATAACATTCGAATTTCAAGAAGAATGAGCTTCATTGAACATCCAATTATTCATGTGGAACTCCAGGACACCGAAAGAAGATCTTTGATACTAAATGTCAAAGTTTCTGTAAAGCCTGGTGGATCATTAAAAGTAAGTGATAAAATGTCAAGCGAAAATCCCTAAGTACATGTTAACCCTTTAACTCCCGAGATCTGATTGTTAATTCTCTCCTCTAGCTGCTACACATTTCCTTGTAAATAAGTCACGAGATTTTGGTGTTTGATCAAGACAACGACCTCTACCTGATAAGTTTGATTACTCTCAGTACCTGTTTGCTGGATAATGTACGGATATTGTAGGAAGAAGCGATAGGTTAATCACTGTGAATTTAAGGGATTAAAGTGTGTCAGGCTTCTATTAACAGTTTCAGCGCTTGTTAAGGGGGCAGTAAGCGATAATGGGAAGCATTTTAAGATGAGCACCATACCTTTGATATTTTATTTTGCTAAATATTTCAGTTCCCACGTGCTTTTTGTTCGGACAAATTAGGGGCCGTACTCCACTGCACTGCTGTAAAATTTGAATTTCTTTTTTCGTTATTTTTTGCTAAAATGTCTCTTAATTTGTCCTTAGTTTTCTCAACTTTCTCAATCATGTCCCAAACTTGGCAGACATACTGTTAAGATATATTGATATATCCGACTAACTGTTTCTTCACTACCGCTAACTTAGTACGTTCGAGGTATTTAACTAACCTTTTTTTGTTTTGTTTAATTGTCCCACAGGTTTCCATTTATGCTCCTTATTGGATGATAAACAGCACAGGGATCCCACTTGTGTTTAAGCAAGAGGGTGTTCCTCATGACATGGCTGGCCAGTTTAAAGAACACGAGATGGCGCGGAGCTTGACTCCGTTGCTGTTTTCTTTCTCTGACAGAGAGGCGGCCACAAGGTATGTTTGGAAACCTGTTAGAAATGTAACTTCCTATTGATTAGGGTTCTCTCACGCTGATTAACCATCGGGTCCTCTTGGTTTTTTTCCTTTTCGGTTAAATTCTTTAAATAGTAATTTACCACGAACTTAGTTTGTTTTTTTAGCACATAACACTGTCGAGTAGATGGAAAAGAGTATCACTTTGTTTTGGTTCTTTCCTTTTTTCTTCAGCAAATATTTGTATGTGACTAATTTTGTTCGTTCTGAGTCCTCCTTTGTTGTTATTAACAGGTGTATTTCAGAAAAAGAAAACTTGGTTATTATAATATGCCTTTGGCAATGTGGATTCTCTCTGCCTAAAAGTTCCTTGTATTTTCTCAACAGATGTCAAATGAGGATTGGCAAGGGCTATCAGCCTGGAAGCGGGAAACCTTTATGGTACGTAATGGGCTCTCAGCACGATACAGCCTCTCCTTTATCTCTTTGATGTTGTCTTTTAAGTCACTATTACGTGTATTTTCGACTATCGTTTCCTGCTTCCTGCAACTTTGTCTTCTCTGCAGGAGTAATTCCTTTTCGCTGGACAATTCACGAGAATTTAGACGCGTTCACGCCATTCAAGGTGGAAGCCGGCCTAACAAGTAAGTCAGTTGGAATATTTGTCAACAATTTTTTTACAGTGTCATTGACTGAGAAACAGAAATACAGTTCAGAAATGTGGGGACAATCTGCTGGAATATGTATGTAGATTTGGAATTTCTCTGAGTTTTAGTTCCTGAATGGGCTTTGAAATGGTTGTGTTATTACTTTGTCTTTCCTTTTTTTATGATGTGTTCGGCACTTGAATTTGATTTTCAAATAAAAAATTAAGCTTGCTTTACCAGTGAACTAACTGCAGTGTTTTGCCATGGTTGGTAAAGTTACTCTTACACTCTTTTTCGCGATTGTGAATAAATGCGAAGTTGAAATTTAAAAATTTCTGAAATAGATCAAGTATGAATCAATTTATGACAATAAAATAAAGTCATTTCTAAACGACAGAGTATATTCACTTTAACCTCTTTACAAACTTTAAGAAAGACTTAAAGTATGAAAACTAATCTTTAATAATCTTAATCGCTTGGCCCAATGTAAATAGCGCTTGATAAAACAAGGGTACTTTAATCGATACAGCGATTATAGTCTGTGTCTGTTGCTATGATTGAAGCATGGTTTGCCTCTAAATGTACCATTCTATATCGAAAGAAATAAATTTGAATTTTTGTTCTGGTTATTCACATGATTGTCATTTAAACCATAAAAGTTGTTACAGGAATTAAGAAACATTCCATGTGAGTATTAACATAGTGGCATGCATATAGACACCATCATCTCTCTCGTCACGATAGCCGTCAATTATGGTTGTCTTAGAAACCACTTAGAGCTCTTGTCACATTAAATCCTTGCATTACAGAACGAAAAAGAAAGGAAAAGCCGTAACTCCGCCTCCCGCGTCCGCATGCAAAGTGTCCAGCAGCGCTGTGAGCCGTCAGTTGGAGTTACATGTGCAAGGCGCGTGCTTGTTTCGCGCAAACCTCCCTTGCGAATCCGTGTGCCTAGTCACTTCTAAAAAATGGTAACGTAATGCTGCGCTATTGATTGGTTAAAGAATTGATTGGTCATTTTCCCATCGAAACCTCTTAAGTCAAATCGTCAATGACTATGCTAAATAAGTTTTGAGAAAGTCGTTCTTCGAATTTCTTGGGTGAATTTCCTGTTGAACACTTTAATATCTTTGTTCTTAATCAGTGGAAGAAGAACTAGAAAATGAAATTATGAACAGGGATATTTATAATCAATCAATTATGATGAAACATGAATAAGAAATCAGTGAACATTGATTTGTAGTTTCTATGAGGCGTCTTCGGTATCTGAAGCAGAAAATGAATGTCATTTGAGATCCTCTGGAAATCAAGATGTATGGGACTGAATTGATCAATAAATTAATTAAAGAAATGGGCGACTAAATATCTAATTATTTAAGATGAATTAATGAATTTATGGACAATGAATAAATAATATTTAGGCAGGAGACTAACTACCTAAATTAGTACTTAAATTAATCAGTCAATAAACGGATATAAACAAACAAATAAATAGGTAAATGAATAAATGAATTAAGAGATAAAACTCTAAACAGATAAATATATAAATAAAAGCAGAATTGTCAATATTTCATTTTTTTCTGCCAAAAGGCGCTTATGAATTGGGAATTGTTCTATAACCGATTGCATATTTTTTCATGTATGCCATCATAGTGGGAGGGATAATTGATACCGTCAGGAAACTAAACTAATCGGTACCATGACGTCAGATACGTTTCTGAGATGTGCAGTACTTTTCATATTTACGATCAGCCTTCATCTCTTTATCGCGTCACACCTGATGTGGAGTCTTCGTTTAGTGTGTATCGACTGGAACACAAACCTTCTTGATTCTATTTCTTTGACCCTGCCAACGTAGTGGCGATCCTTAGTTCTTACCAGGAACACTGGTCAGGGGATGCAGTCAGCTTTGTTTCCTCGAGACCGTGAAGATATAACACCATTTATTACCAAAAACACCAATGAAACAAAAGAATCTTCCGGTTTCTGAAAAGTCAAAACAGGCTATTTCTTCTTTAGCAACAATGCTAATTTTATTTTAAAACATCTTTAATGTCAGACAAAAAAAAAACTGTTTTGCATAGATATTGCTTTATGTTTATATTTGATGTTAAAATAACATCTTAGCACGCTGGGTTCACGGGCAGTTGAACTCAATGTTTGGTGCTATTGTGACGAGTTTTTAAATCATTTTAATTCGTATTCTTCGATTATACCCATGTGATGAACATAATATCGCATGTCTGATTGTGGATACGAATTCATCTCATTCTGAACATATCTTCCAGTCGAAGATGAAACTCGTATCTACACTCAGTCATTTGATATCCTCTATTTACCTCCTTGAATTATTATGATTTATTTGCATTTATTATGTTTTTATTAATTATTTAACTATTAATTTCTTCTACCCTTGATCAGTGTGTCTGAACTTGTAAGACTTTTGAAGACGAGTTAAAATAGATACTAAACAAAGGCGAAAACAAAGCGAGTTAATACAGTAAACTAAACAAAGCATAGATGAGCATTGATAATTAAAATGCTCGGATCCGGAAGGTCTTGTCAAAGCAACCTATCAACGTACGTTAAATACGCGCCATGCCGTTGTTTTCAGGGTGTACGATATTGGTATTGATGTGCGTTTTGGCCAAGGGCGATATCGTGATACAAGAATTGTTACCCTTGCTACTCGATATCAGCTGGAAAACAGGACTCATCATACTCTAGCTTTTTCACAGAGACACTTCGTAAGGGAACAGGTATACAAATTTTTGTTCCTTTGGAAATTACTTGATCTCTACTCATTAAGGTTGCTTAATTGTTTTCAAAATGACGTTGTCCATATTCGTATTTGTGTTCCATTTGAAGGCAACTTTTGAACGGCAAGGTTACTTTTTGGAAAAAAGGGGTTAGTTCCTCAAGAAACTGTGGTGCTGAGTCGGTGGGAGGTTTAACAAGATAACTGGTTTTACTAACTGAGTTGATAGTAAAGATTGGCCAACGTAAAGAGTTTCTAAAGCTGACGTTTCGAGCGTAAGCTCCTCGTCAGTTTAAAGAGGGGCTAACGGAGCCTTTAACATTATCGACTCAGCTGATATCACTAAATTATATACCTTTTAGGAAGTTTGGAGGTTATCTTAAAACTCAGTCTCTGGAAAGTGCGTTTCCCTTAATGATAAGCTATTTATCTGCTCTACTGTAAGAGGAAAAACATCCAAATTCTCTCTTTTTGTTTTGTCTGCTCTTTAGGGAACAACCAACCCAGAGGGAACACTCACTGCCATGCCAGGGGCCCTGGTGCTTTTCCATTGGCCCAGAACAGACTTAGACCAACTTTTGTGTATCAGGTAAAGGACCTTGTACTTTGGCTCTTTATTTGGACCCTTTTTGTTTGTGTTTTTCTCCACGCGAGTACCTGATACTATTGCTTGGACAGCACGTGGCACAACCAGCTGTTTTTGTCCGCAACAGATTTCTAATCAAGGTTTTATTTCAGGTTAAATGATGTTTCTCACTGCAAGTGGTCTGGTGGCTTCAGGATCGATCAGGATGATTCTTTTCATATTAACATGAGGTATATGCAATTCTATCTTATGCAGTAGATTAGGAAATAAGTGAATTGCAAGACCATCTTTCTTTTTGTTGTGTCTGTCCGTCAGTCAGTCAGTCTATCTGTCTGTAGGTTTGTCTGTTTGTGTGTTTAGCCGTCTATCTACCTGCCTGGTTGCCTGTCTGTCTGTCTGTCTGTCTGAACGTTTGTCTGTTTGTGTGTTTAGCCGTCTATCTGCCTTCCTGGTTGCCTGTTTCCCTCTCTGTGTCTTTTGAGCTCTTGAGTTAACAGAGTACATAGTAACCTTGTGTTCACTATACTTCTATGTGTCATAAGTTACGCCTCACCTCGTAATGCATGTATTGGGATATTGGTTCAAAGTAGCTTGTACAATAACAGAAAATCATCAGCAAGCTGCTAGGAAAATGCAGGTATTACTTAGAGCATGATGATAAATTTATTTTTTTCTGCAGGAGTTTGAATGATTGTTCGTTGTTTGTGAGAGTGGAGGTGGTGCTTAGAGGAGCAACATTTCACGTTCTGTTCACTGATGCCTCCCAGCTTCCCCCGCCGTTCAGGATTGACAACCTATCAGAGGTTTGTTTTGTTTAGTGGTTATTCGTGAAGATGACCTATGCATATTCTCCTTACTGGCCTGACGAATTTGTTTAACAATCAAAAGCTTCTTTAGTTGGATCATTTCCTTTAGGAAAAAAGTCGATGAAAGAAATTAGGTTTTCGCTTTTTGTGGGTTAAAGGGTTTGTTTTCATTGTGGTAGGAAAAAAGGTATTTTCGCTTGTTTTTCAGGTGTCAATCACTTTCTATCAGTGTGGAACTGAAGACAGAACAAGAACCATTCTTCAAGCAAAACAATCAGGTATTGTTTGAGCACTGAGACTCTTTGAAGTTGCTGGGTTCGTTACAAGAGACTTGAATTCTTAACTTGTAGGCGGGTTGAGCTATTTTTCAAGTTCGCTTGCGACAAGAGATCTCATTCGCTTCCCGATGAGTCTTCTGTAGCTTAGTGAATTTCTCCCTTGGGAGGTCCTTTGTGTGGCTCAGATTTTTTTCTCTCCCACACTCGTGACAAATAGATAACATTTTTCTTTATTGGACGACCAAACCTAAACATTGCCATCTATCCCAACTTTTCTCTCTAAGGCACCTAGAGTAAGCTTTTTCAAACTACCACTGATGGAAAGAGAGCTCTTGCACTCAATACTTTTGGATCATTAGCTAGGACTGTACCGCACCTCAGAGAAGACCTTGAATTTTGTCTTGCTGGTGCTATTTCAGTCACATACCAGAGCGAGAGCAAATATATTTTTACATTTGTCTTAGCTAATATAAACAAATTGTCAATTGAAAATTGCAGATTTGTTTTCGATTTTGCCCGTTACCGTATGCTACTTTCGAAATTGTTCGTACTCCCTATATGACTGATTTTTTCTATTTTTATATTTCTAAATGAAGTTCCCTACTCATGGGATGAACCCACTCTGTTACCTGAGCTGTCTGTTGGGGTGATGGGAGGTGGATCTTTCGCTCGCTATCAAATGAATGAGCTTGGAGGAGGCGACCGGCTCTACTATTACAATCCCATATACGTCGTACTTACACACACATTTTCCAGGTAAAGTTCAGTTTAAGTTAGTTCATTTAAGTTTTTCAGTGTTCTGTCGGTGTGGAAAAAAGAAGGCGCTTTGCCTCTCTACTGCTTTTTCATTCTGGCAGTGTCATGTCATGCATAGCTCCCTCCTTCGTGCTCAAGGTAGTTGCAGACGTTTCAATCTGAAGTGAGAGTCGCTATGCGTTTAAGTTAAGTTTACTGATTGTTTTATTGAATAGTTATTAGTGCTTTGGATATTCAGGCATCAGGAACTTTGCAAATTGATGAAACAGTGATAAAAATTATGGCATTTCAAGATAAAAATTCTAGTGACTGTTGGATCATTGTGTCAACGATATTCTTTACATGCAAACTCAGCAATGAAAATAGTGAAAATGTTTGCTTTTATTAACACTCATCAATCCTTTAAAACTCATGGGTGCCAAGCAGAATTTCTCCTTACAAAATCAATACAATATCAAGGAGAAAAGTGTTGAGAATAAATAACAGTATTGATTAGGGGATTATTAGTTGATTCAGTGCCAAATTCTCTGAAGCAACATTTTGAGAACTGTATGACAGGCAGTAAGGAGAACTGATAAAGGGAACTTGGAAGGAGAAGGGTTAAGAGGTGCCCTGGTAAAACTCTCTTCCGACAAGGATTCATTTAATTTTCATTCTTATTCTCCTTTGTGAAATGATCTTTCAGTGCTGATGGACACATGTGTGGCTCAGTTCACCTCCAACCTGCTTTAGCTGCAGATGAATCGTCTCTTGATATGAGGGAGCTTGTTTTAGATGTACCTCAGGGATCAGCGGTGTTGCTCAGAAGAAAGGTTCGAATAAGAAAAAAAAAGATAAAGACAAAACTTTTTTGCCCCTACTAAAATGGCGTCAGGGCGTAGGCCACTTTAAGAATTAAACTGAAAGATATCTTTGTAATTTTACCAAGCGTGGCGGTGGAGGGCTGAGGATAGACAGAAAAAACCGATGGTGCTTATGACTCGTCGCCTTTGATATGATTAAAAAAAGATGGTAGAACGTGTGTTGGAATTATCTGGATGATTTTTGTGCTTATCACGCTTGAGAGTAAAAGAACTGACACAGGCTGCCTATTCTAACGGCGTTTTGCTCGTCTCAGGAACCTCACAAAAGATCCCAACTTTGGCGACTGACTGGCCAGGGTCAATTACGTCATGAAGGCTCCTCCACTCCTTCTGCGAAGCCGTCTTCGTCTAATAGAGGATTAGTCCTGGATATTGACAGCTTGGCTCCACCCACTTGTGGCAAGTACGTGCGACTCGTGTTGAGTAAATATAACCAAAGGCGGCTGCATTCACAGACGTGGTCCTTCACAGAGGTAACGGGAACACTTTAACTGAGGTCGCAAATTAATGTCTGCTAAGCTACGAAAGAGTTACTCAATGATCTGCCACATAAAAATCGTTCAATTGATACCATATACTTCGACAAGCAATTTTCGGAATTCTATCAGCAGTCTAATGCCCTTCGCCTTAATGTTCTATGGTTTCTTTAAGTCGTAAATGCGTTTGTTATCATAATTCTTCACCTCGTTTTTGATGGGAGACTTCTCTTAGTTTAACACAAAGAATAAAGAGTGTAATTTGGAAGGGTTTTTTCTCATCCCTCGTTGTCACTTCTAATCTTCATTTGAATTTTGTTCTTGTTGTTGTTAGGATAATCGCATGAAATGTGATCTTCCTGGACTTTATGTACAGCCAAGAGGTGGCGTTAAAGGATTAAGAGATGGTAAGAAAATTAGGCAAATGCTGTATAATGTTCATAAACCTTCAATACTGCTTGAACAGCTTAAACATACTGCAGGCGGAGTGATTAATTTGAAGACGGGGACCGTATTGGAGAGGTGCGAGGGCTCCTTGAAATGTCGTACAAAACCAAAATATTAGTAATTTTTCTTCATCTCAGCTGTCGCCCAGGTTAAATGAATACCGGATTTAGCACACATCTCTTTAAGAAAATTCAGAGGTAGATCATCGGATTGCGAAATCGTAGACCCGGGATTCGATCCCTTGTGGGGGCGCTATACTTTCTCTTGGTCCCGCACTCGTCACCAAAAGAGTGACAATTTTCTTGAAATAGCGATGTATTTGTTTTTCTAGGTGTAGATGCAGTGCTTGGTCCTGCCAACATTACTAAAAATGATCAGATTCCTATCGAACAGTGCATCAGCACGTGTAAACTAAGGCCTGGCTCAGGCTGCCTTGGAGTAAAGGTTCTGGCAGATGGTCCAACACGAGTGTTGCAGATCACTGACTGTTTACAGCTGGTGAGACCTGTTAGGAAACGTACCTTTTAAACTGTCAGTGAGCGAAAGGTCCACTTTAAAAGCGTGAAATTCAGGAAATCTTCATCAGAGGCATTGAAAGCTAACAAGTCGTACTGGAGCATCTTGCTTCTGGTGACGCATAACTAATCGGTCTCATTTCTTGATTGAAGACCAACCCATTTTTGCCAAAAGACAGTTTGTAGAAGCTCATAGTCTTATTTGAAAACTTGTCAAGTATTCTTGTGCTAGGAACATGCCCCTTTTACAGGCTGTCGTAATTTGCGTGAGTTAGGGGTATATCTGAGCTTTTAATGAGTGGGTTGAAAGCCTGCAAACCCGGCGCTTTCAACGCATTCGCCTCCGTTAGAACGAGGGCTCGTTAACGCTGTGCTGATTGGGTCAATGAAAATTGCAGCTGAACTCGAAGCTGCAAATAGAAAGAGTCTTTGGCAGCTGCCGTGTCTTAAGGCTGAAAAAATAGTTGAATTTGAGAAAGCGGCTGATGTTTTCACCAACGTTTGATCTGATGTTCCGTCGTCAGTTAAATTCCAAGGATACTTTCTGTGCTCGCGATGAGAAGCCTTGTAAATGGAAAACTGAAAGCCGATCGTTCGTCTCATTGATATAGTGGGAAGAAATTGTTCATTAACTTTTGCAGTGTGTCTACTTTGATTTTGATGCTTTGTTCGAAACTGATGTGAAATATTTTGAATGCGATATTTGATTAGTCTGAAGACGAAGCCGAGAAGGAATGGATGCTAGTCGAACGGAAAGGCGGTTTGAGGCAACCAACTGTGAGTAGCCTGGGTAATGAGGGGGATTGCTCAGCTCTTGAAGTACACATTCGCTTAGCTGGAGGGATTGGTGTGTCTGTCATTAACTCTGTGCCAGAGGAACTGGTGTTCATAAATCTGGAACAAATCGAGGTAATTTACGACTGCACAATAATACTTTTTTAGTTTTTCGACTGCACAATAGAATTCACTATTGCACAATATTACTTCGTTACTTTTGAATGGTTACGTTCAGTTTAAGAAAACAAATCATCTGAATTGAATGCGTAATTTTACCAACGACAGTTGTATATTACTGATAGTCTTCTGTGTATTGTTATCGTCAGATTTAGCTCATATCCAGATTAATTTTAATCAAACCTACCAAATCAAGATTACTTCTATTTGTCAACCATTAACGCTCGAACTCCGAGCGGCATTGGGAGCTAAAATCTGAAGTTTGGCTGGAACATTTAGAAATTAAAAAAACACCGAGCAAGTGCATTATTTAAGAAAAAGGCCGTCAAATCACGTTGTTCAATCGATCGATCGCGTTCATAATTTTCGTCTTCAGGTGGACTACTTAAGAAGCTCAAAGCTGGAAACACTCGAAGGCAGTATTGGACGTATTCAGGTGTGTGTTGTATGTATCGCACATCGAAATAATACCCTATCCAAACTTAAAATCGTTATTACGGGAATATATGCGGTACCTTTTTATAGCAATCTGTCATTACTTGCTTTTGAGTCGTGGCAGTGCTTAAACCTGCGCATTTTCCACTTTTGCGGCAAAGGATCAAATAGTTATATGTTTGTTGGGAGAGTTACCTCGTGTGCCTGTATTGTGTCACATGCAAGTTTCTTTTTCTGTAAAATGGAGTGCGCTGGAAGGCGGGGGAAACAGTGAAATAATATATAGATTGAAATACCAGTGTTAATAGTTCAAAAACCAGAAGGGTTGAGAAAGTTAGGAAGACAAAAAATCAATTTAAACATAAGAGAGTTGAAATCTTTAACATGCTGGTTGAGATGCAAACCATTTGGCTTTTCTCATGCATAGACTGAGACTCGAATTAGGGGTTTCGTTATTCTTTGCCTCGCGCAGAATGAATTTACTCTTTATTTACACGACGACAGAGCTCAAAATAGACCATATTTGTAATTTATTTTATTAAAATCACTTAATCTTTCATCCATACCATCCATTTTCATTTAAAGATTGACAATCAAGTGTTCGCCAGTCAGCTTCCAGTTCTTCTCTTCCCTTCCTTCCCTGAAAAAGGCTCTAAAGAAGAGACCTTTGCAAAACAGCCTTCACTCCGTGTATCAGCATCCAAAGAACCCAGCAGACTTCCAAATGTGGAAATATTCAAGGTCAGTAATTCAAGGATAAAGTGATTGTGAGGACGAAATAGAGTTCCACTGGTGCGTCAGTTTCTGTCTCTGCAGTGTTTTTGCTATAATTAAAAAATTTAAGCAACATTCAGCCGTGCACCTCTGTGTGAAAGCAAATATTTTACTTGTTTAATAATGAGTACAATCGTTTACAATTTTGATGCATGTTTCAGTGTGACATGAATCTGCGTCAGGTGCACTGATTGGCTGCAAAACCGATTGAACTATCAGTAAATTAATCTAATTAATTTTGTATTTATTTATTTATTTGGTTGATTACTGCTACGTAATCATTGCAGACACTGGATATATCACTGCGTAAGATGACTCTTCAGATCGAGGAATTGTTGCTGTTAAAGCTTCTGCAGTTCTTTGGATATGTACAACAAGATGATGACATTGTTGGTGCAAACCACGAGGAAGACGAGTGTCTTTATGCCACACAAAGGTTTCCAAGCATTTGCGTTGAGTTTTATTCATTGAAGCCGCTAAGCTACTATACGTGTTTTTGTTTTACAAACGTAACTGTTGTTTTTGAATCACGAATTGATTAAGCAATTTAATCTGGTACGAGGATTCTCTCGAGTCTTTGAAATTACCCAATATGGATAATTTGTAACCACACTCACGAACACACTTTTTTTGGGACACTTGCGCCTCCCGGCTCCTCTCGTGTTGGTTTCCAAGATACATTAAACATAGTGGGAATTTACAGCATTGAAAGGGGAAGAGAGGCAGGGGAACATCGCAAGTTGTGTTCCAAAGCGGTGTCTTAACTTATTAGATCTGAAAGTGTAGGTCGGGTCGTTACTAAACAAAGTGTTGAAAGTGAATTTTGCATCGGTAGGCCGACATTGCCAAGTTCATCTGGTTCCTCAAAGAGGTATTACTTTGAGCATCTTCAGCTAAACTCCACCCAAATAAAGCTGTCTGTATACAGTACTGGAAGGCTTCCTGAGGATCTTCAGAGCCTGAAGAGTAGTCTGGGGCTGATGCTGGTGAACTTAGAGGATGCTACAGTTGACTTAGGTTGGTGTGCATGTACCTACAAAGGAAACTAATCTTCTGTTCGGTTTAATTTTTTCAAGGTGAATTTTACTTTACACCCTCACAGTAGTATTCATATTCTCCACACTGATCTCTGTACATTTCTTGCGGTAATGACAAGGATGATTTTTTTGACAATCGGGAGCTTCTTAAATTAGAGATCATTTCCTTTGTTCTCTTGACATTTATACTAGATCCTAGGTTGATACTGTAATGAGATATTAGATGCCAATCACTCTTTGGGGTTAGGGGTTAAACAGTTTGCCAATGATAAACGGCTTTTTGGCTTTGGCTCCATTTTCCATGAGGAGAATAATTATTTTAGTAATGATATCCAAGCTATTATCATGAACACTGAATTCTTTCTTCTGCATGAGTATTGTAATCTCCAGAGTACTTTACTGCTCTACCATAGAGCCCACCGGCATTGTAGACCTAATTATTACTGTTTGATTTTAGAATCTTTTTCTCGGTCTCATCCGTTTGACACCCTGTCTTCTCATCTGGACTCCATCGGCAAACATTATACTGAGGTAGGTATTGCAAACGGTCCAGTCTTTCTCGTAAATTTCGTTGAGCGACTTTGCTCAATCAACTCTTTATGTTGATGTGTTTTTCCCGAATGATTTTCTCATTATTCATACCCGGCGTTGTGACTAGCATGTATCTGTTACGAGTTCGATGTTTTGGTGAAGGCGACATAACAGCGACATTACATCCTGACTTACAACAATATGAATCATGAATGGATCCCAGGACGTAGAAAAGTCAGCATATTTAAACATAATAGGTGACAAACTCTAAAACAATGTACAAGACAAACGGGACCTGAACCATAGAATAACGAAACTACAGCTTAAGGGATTACAAATATTTCGCTCAAAATACTAAGAAACAAACACAACAACACAAATTAGAAGAACCGGTGCAATTTTACGTAACAGTATCTAACTACCATTCTGAATATGAACTGCTTGTGCGTACTCAAACAGAATTAAATTTCTGGTGCAGATTTTTTAAGGCGAGAAACCCGTCTACCTAGTTAAAAATTTTAAAATTCATATTTAGAGATGTTGGCAAGATTTAAGCATTGAGACATCGTGAGAGTTCTGCGGGCTGCTTCCTAAAAGTGTTGTTGAGAAGAGAAGAAAAAGAGGATAGAAATGCTGATGAATCATTTGTTTTTGTGTCTCTTTTGATTGCCTGTAGGAAGTTCTCAGTCAGAAAATAGCTATCGTGGGTTCAGTCGATATGCTCGGTAATCCCATGGGACTACTCAATGATGTGTCATCTGGCCTGGAGGGACTGGTCAGGAGAGGCAATGTCGGAGGGTTATTTATAAACGTGGCTCACGGAGTCTCTGACTCGGCAGCCAAGGTAAATACGACCAGCCGTCAAGAGGTTACGCTGTGTCGTTACATACACCTAAATATCCCCATCTTCAGGAACCCCTTCAGAATTAGCCGCCATTAGCTCTGTACGGTTTTTTTTTGTTCCTTTTTATGTGAGATAACCATCCTTCTATTTAGCGCCCGTATTGAGAATTGGAAAGCATTTGGGAATTTTATCGGCTTTATTTCCACGGTTGTGAAAAATTTGAATTATGAACATGCTAAGGGTTACATTGAAAAGCCTCGTTCCTCCGCAGACACGTTACGCTTGATCGAGATATGACAATAACAATACTTTGAAACCACAGATACTTTAAAAGATACCATTTTTTAAGCTAACTGAATCGATAGAATAACAAAGCTATACTGTCCCTGATAATGACACTTCGCAGTTTCCTTCGCAGTATCCTGTGGAGATTGTGCTTTTTTCACCTCTTGTCGTGACAAGGTTCCTCTAAAGTAAAAGTTAAGTAGTCCTTCATGCGCTTTTCAAGGTGTAAACTGATTTTGTGTTTCTGCAGCTCACTGGTTCTCTGTCTGATGGTTTGTGGAACGCTTCCATGGACAGTAAATTCCAGGAGAGCCGTGACGCAATGCGGGCCGAGAGGTTTAGCAGCTCCAAAGATCACTTTGTAGCTGGCGTAAAGGGCCTGGGGATGGGTATTGTTGGTGGACTTACAAGTATTGTAACACAGCCAATAGAGGGAGCACATAACGCAGGACTCTCAGTAAGTTTACCTACACTTCTGGTCGTGTGTTGCTCCGTCAGTAAACAATTTGGACCCAAAGTTCAGTACTTATACGTAGAAGAGGACTCGTGCTATTTGTAATTCTTTATAGAGAGGAAGGGGAAGATGAAACGTTTAGAACGGTGAAACACATGACTTAAGGACGAGGAAACAACCGAGGCGGTAGCTTCGGGAGGATGAATTTCGTTGTTAGAAGATTTTGCTTGACATTCTGTCCTTTTGGTCGATTGCTCAATGAACAAATGGCCAGTGTATGAAGTGTTACCACGCTTTTACTCAAGATACAATGTAATTTCTGCCATTTTCAGCAAATTCGTGTAAATTTATTGTTTTGCATTATCTGCTCCAGGTTGAATTATTTCAGTGTAGAGACTTTTTCGCATAACCTCTTCATTGCAACATACACTTAATCGATGAAAACGGATACGAATTGATTTCTATGTTCAAGTATGTCGCTAATCCTTTACGTGGTGTTCCGTTGGTGGTTTGGTAAATGAGCAACTAGCGATTAATCATCGTGTCGACTTACACGTGCAGTGCTGTGAGATTTTTTTATATTCCATTTTAGCGAATGCAAGTAGTTTTCAGGTATGGACTTTGAATGATGAATAAATCTTAGCCTTTTGTTTTCTTAGGGTTTTATATCTGGTATTGGTAAAGGCATTGTCGGAACAGTTACCAAACCAACCGCTGGAGTTCTGGACTTTGCATCTGGTGCTGCAGCGGCCGTCCGAGGACAAGCGACGCGTAGCTCCAGATATTTCCCGCCAAAACAAGCGCGCTTACGTAGGAATTGTTTTGGACCAAGTGGTGCTATCCCACGGTTCTCCAGGACGCACGCTGAAGGCCAAGAAATCATGTTGAAATTAAATGAAGGCAACTTCAACGAAAAGTAAGGAGTTTTCATTGACTTAACAGATTGAAAAAGGTCAAGTTTGAAAGTTGATTTGTTCCAATGTCGTAAATTGCGAAGTTCTATACGAGGTTAACTGCAGCTGTTTTAGAATTAAATGTCTTTCAATCCTATATTTGTCCCCACCTTCGAAACCTAGAAACTTAGATAAAGATTTAAAACCAGAAATGACTTTTTGGAAACTGAGGTAACTTAGCGGGTCTTGTTTCCTCAGGTTTGTGTTATCGGAGTCTGTTAGACGCGATAAGGAAGACCGCCTTAAAGCTATTGTCAGTACAGAGGCAGTGTACTTTGTGCGAGCCCGTGGGATCCCCTCACCGGAGGCTATTGTTCTTCTAGTGCGGTTTTCCGACCTTTTTGTTTGCCAACCTATTGCGAGTGGTAAGTAATTCTCGAAGTGGAAATGATGGGTGGGGTAGAAGGGAAAGGGACTCGAGCAACTCGTACCAAGCAGTGGAAAGGTTATCAGTTATCTTAATGGCCGCTATTGGCGTTTGACGTTATTGCATTTAAGATTTGTTTACGTGAGGTCTGAAAGAAGAGTAGGCATGGCCTAAAGGTTTAGAGTGCTGGATTTGGAAGTCTGGAAGTCGCATTTCGAAATGTTTTTCTCTGACACTCGATAGGCCCTTCCCGTATTCTAAACGGCTTCGCTTTCAAAACGAGGTCAAGTGAAACGCTGGTCTTGTGATTATTAGTTTTGTTTGCATGATGAAAACGGTTGATTTTCATTACAGAAAGTTTTTTATATCATTTTCATCTCGGGAATAGATTTGTTCTTCGTTAGTGTCGAGTTCAGATAATCGATGTTTTGTGAATGACCAACTGGTTTGCCTCCTATTAGTCGAGATTTTAAACTATTGAGGTTACATCTCATTTCTCTAGGTATCTGCAATGCCTCACCGTGCATAGGGATACCGAAAACATCGAGATTTAATTAAAGTTTTCCTTTCACATTATTTGGGTTAATGTAACAATTCTTTTGTAAGATTCGTGTAGCTGATGAGTTAACAACACCAACCGCAATAGCACTTGTCAAACGCGAATTTTTACCTCTGAAATTTCTTTGACTCTAAGCAAAAGACTGTGTCTGAAATTTTCATTTTTAGACGGTAAGGATTACATCGAGCTTGTCATGAAGGCGGATAATAGCAGTATGCCAACACCATCCAAGAACCCCGGCAAAAGACCAAGAGTTAGATGTGATGAAAATGTTATCTCTCAGAAGGTTTGTAAAATTTGAATTTACATCGATTCGCGCCACCACAAATTCCTCCGGGGAAGGGGCAGGGGGTTTTGTCCATAAAGGGGTTCGTAGGTCACTTTTAAGTACATCTTTGCAATTCAAGTTGTGCGCGCTTCTCTGAAGTTCGTAAGTCGCGCACCTCAGACATCTTCTTCAGCCACTTGACTTTGCCTAATTCATCAAGAACTGTCTGAAAAAACACGGTAAATAATCATGTACTTCATTACATTTTAACTACATTATGAATATCTCACCACAAATTCTTACTCATCGCTGTTTACTTGAATAAGCTGAAAATTATATTCAGTTACCTTTGTGTGTCCAAACGTAAGCTCCTTTACAATTATTAAAAATTTTCGTTATTTGTCGATTTAATCAGGTGGCTCAGAAGATCAACTATGCAAAGAACCTTTACGATGAGGTACAGCAAACTGTGAAATTGGAACTCAAGGAACCGACTTCCCCAGTATAACCAATGGCTGACTATGAAACGGTTTATAGAAGAGATGTTTGTTGACTACAGTGGCTCAATGTATTGAGGAGTTGACAGAGATTCAGGTGCAAACAGCTGGGCTCGACCGGTTGAAGACCAAGTAGAAAGAAGGTATTGGCTGATTAGCTTAAGTCGATCACGACACTCAAATTTACCTGACCAAGAAAAACGTAGTTATTCATCACGCTCAGAAAAAAGTATGGCCCCAGTGATAACGCTTGGAAGAGTTTTTACTTGCTGATGTTATATTTCTAAATCCAATAGTGAGTGTCAACCTTTTAACTTCCGGCGTTGATAGGAATGTATTATCAACGTATTATCACACGAACCAGGTATGAGAATATACCAACTTATCAACGAAAGAGGTGATGTCGGCACTCTACCAACCATTCGTAATTATTATACATGGAAATTTAACGTAAAGAAGAGAGAGTTACGAATCACTTCTTGGTAAAGAAAGGGTCTTAAAAATTATCTTCAAAAGAGATTAAACCATCATTAATTCAGAAGACTTTGAAGATTTTTACTTCAATGAATTAAAACGTTTGTTCTTTAATTAACAAAATGAATTAAGGAATAGGAGGGGATTACTCCTCAACTTTTAAAGCAGTCTCGCGAACTGTTTTGTTTGTTCTTTTAGGCAATTTTCAATTTAATTTCGTTGTTCATGAGGCAGGGCAACTGGTTTATTTATTCACGTAATTTACCCCCACCCTCCCAACTCGCAAACGCACACAGCTTTGAATAACGTATTTACAAATTGTGCAGTTTTGTTAGCAGAAATATTTTCATGTTCCGAACAAGAACGAAATCTTGTTTACCGAATTTTAGGATGTTTTTTTCAAATGTTTTGGGTAAAGAAATTCATCAACTTCAGCTGAGTATCCTCACGCGATTAGAACACGAGATATTTTGCTTATTCGACGCAAATTTGTACCAAAGAGTTTAGAATTAAAATACCCATAATCCATATTTTTCTCAGGGAATATGCATATTTGATTTATCGTGGACTTACTCAAGATAGAAGCTGCCTTCAATAGGCCATTTTACAGTTGTGTGCTTAGTTGCCAAGCCTTTGATTTGGAGTGAGGCTGAAGGTGACCTTGTTGTGAGAGAGACAGGTATCTAATTAGCATGATAACAAAGTAATTTGCATATGAAAAGCAGCAAGGTTTGTATCATAATAAGGTCAACTTTAGCCTCGCTCCTGTTCAAAGGCTTGGCAACCAAACACACAATGTGAAATGGACTATTGTGGAAGTCTACATTTTTGAAGCAATGTATGTAGAGACGAAAAGATGTAAATTTTCATGTGGGATTTTCGAATAAAACTGCTATGATATAAGTTTGCTTCGTTTCCCATATACTAATCGTAGAAACCGATAATGACATGTCAAAGACCCGTGATAAAACAACGCATTTCCTTTTTAACTAGTGGATACGCCGCGATAGCATAGAAACGAGTTGTTGTGGGCACTTTGGGATATTTGCTAATTGGCGTGGACTCTTCGTAATTAGTCGGCTCCGAACTCGAGATCTGTCCTTCCGAAGAAGTCTGAAATCCTGGCGCCATTGTGATTGCATCGATCGTCGCGATGTTTATTGTCTCTGCACGGCTGTTTCGACATTTACTAAACTGAAATGGACTTCGAATGTTTCAGATTAGTGCTATGATCAACTTAAAGACGAAATTTCAAGGGTCTTCGAATCGTCCATGCGCTAAGCATAGCGAGAGGCAGCGAGAATCACGAAGAGTTTGAGTGACAGAGCAAGCTGTTAACATGGAAATTTCCACGAAAACATGTACCCGTGACTTAAAAAAAATTGTTAACTTACTGCATTATTTCTTTCGTTTCAGGGTTTTTTCCGGACGTTTCGGCAGCTACGCCAATTTTGATGTTTTCGTTGTGGTCCTGTCGTTTCGTTTTGTTGATTTTCTATGCAAAGGTGACTGTTTTGATGGAAAGAATGAAATATGATCGATTTCTACAAGTCGTTGCCGAGCACGTAACCATAATCTGGCCGGTGTTATTTGATCACTTGACGATCTTTTTCGCTCAAAACACACGACGACTTCCTATTTTAAGCATTGTCTTTCCGATTAATTCCTATCGCATCCGTGTGAGGGTTAAAATTCCAAGAGATAGGCTAACAATGTGCCGCTGGATAGGGTCGCATTTTCACGACTGCATTGACTTCTATGGCGTTGCATTTTCAGCTATTTTCAGTAGAGTTACTAGAATTAATATACGGCTCCCATTCCATTCCGGTCTTGTCCAAAAGAGGACAAATATGGGGTCTTTAATTGGCCACAACATAGGCTAAAATACGGCATAGGTTCTGAGAAGTCAGCTGCCTACCTAGAAAAAAATTACTTATGTACCCCCCGGGGGGTTTCCATCACATACTCAGTGATTATAATTTCTATATTTGCAATAGCACTACTTTCTATCTTTTTTTTAAACACCTTAGTTTACTGATAGCAACTTTACAAGTATATATCTCTCTAATACTTTATCCACAAGTTGGCCAAAGGCGCCCTTTGATTCTATAATTATTAACACATTTTTATTGTAATGTTACAGGGCATACGCAGCAAGTTTATGAGTTATTTCGCTCACACATGTTCGTTACTGGAAAGTTTCAACCGATTTCGAACGCTTGCATCTGTTTTTGGACGCTACCGTCTGGTTTTGGTTTATGAAATCTTCTATACAAGAGTACATGAACAAACCAGATAATCGTACATTGCCTGATTCCATACACTACGTCTCGTATTTCCCCCACAATCCTTTCGTGTTCTAGCTGCTTTCTGTATGCTGTACGAGACAGAACAGAAATCTCATCATAACCATGCCCCATTCATGAGAGAAGGAGTAGCAAACTAGACAACTTAAAATTTTATTTTTGAACAGTTTACAACGCATACATTTCATAATTAAATATTTAAAGATACGATTTGTCTGCATTATTAGCTCTTTTCAGACAGAAGAAGAGCTATTCATAAAAAAAATCGCTCAGTTACAGCTTTGGTGATCACAGCCAAAAGCAATGCCATCTGAAATAACATACTGATGATAATGGCTATTAGATTGGTTAAAATATTTTCATAATATATTTGCAAAGGAATGAAGAAACACAGCCGAACCATCCTTCAGTCTTCTTTCGCTGATTGCCGTAACCTTAAGAAAAGAATTAAATTGCCTTTATTATTACATTCTAATGAGAACCACCAGATGTAAATCTTAGGATGTTTTTTGGTTAAGTGGGCGTAACAAAATGGGCAAAACGTGTAGGGGTTTACAGTACCGAGTAGCGTGAAGACAGGAAGAGTGATGGCTCTTCTATTCATGAGAATTCCATCAGCAAGAAGAGTCCATAATTAATATGCATGGTTGATACTGTGCTATCTTGCTCAAAAATCAGCGAAATAAATTTAACCGGAACAGCTTCAACTTGATCAAGACTCTTCTAACGAATTTACCTTTCGAAGCTTTGGCCCTATAAACTATCTTTACATAGGAAAGAAGGAAAAAATTGGGTATCCTCAAATGAACACCGCGTTATCGACTTACTTGTTTTCATTAGGATCTTTGGTTTCAATCTTTTGCACTCTTGCCAAAGGCTTGAGTACCAGTGGATAAAGAACAAACCAAATTCCTAACACAACTGGGCCTATGTAATATAGGGACAGCCATGCCTTGATAAAGAAACAAGAAAACAATTTAGCATTATTGGACTTCCAACCAAAAGTCAACGAAAGCTATATCATCACCAGTGACAGGAGACAACAGATATACGGAAACAAATATTTAAGAAAGATGATCTGTTTAAGGAAGCAACCTTCGTTTCATTTTAATTTGTTTTTCGGTGGATTCCATTGTCATGATCTGACGGGTGCATAGAGAAATTTTACACCTAAGCTGAGGCAGGGACATAAACAGAAGTTACTGCTTAAAATACAGACGGTTTTTTTAAACATTTTCACTTCAGTTTAATTTTACAGGATTTTTTCAATATCATAACAACAAACTCCACTTGCTAACAGTTTCATCCGGGAGTTTACCTTGTGGGATAGGTCTAGTCTCCGCAGTAAAAACGGGACCAAGAAAAAGGCGACCCCTGACAGACGTAAGCAAACACCAAAGAGGATAACGGAAATCTTGAATAACAGCGGGAAATCTTCAAATGATGTCTGGATTACACGACGACAAAAACTTAAAAGCTGAATGAAATAGGAGAGAGAGGTATCAAAGTTAGCTGATTAAAGATTCAACTCAAGAAAAAAACCGTATACAAGGCAAGAAGTGCATCGTTCTCAAGTCTTCGAAATTGCTGAGGTTCACAAAGGCGAGTAACACTGTGGATAACTCTTAACTCGTCGCTAGATATTTCGAATACGAATACGAAGAAACATGAAATGACTTTTGATGTACACGTGGACTTTTTTCATTTGACCGACGATAGACCATTTTATTTTACGAGATATTTCTTATAGGGGTCTTACCTCTTGCGAATCGAGAATAATCCGCAAAACCCGCTAAACTAATAAAACCTGTGAAATCTCATGTTGGTGTGAGTTTTCCGCACTTTTAAAGGGCGTGGTAAGGGAAAATCAATGCAATCCTAATAATTCTCCACCTTGAAATTAGAAAAAGCTCATTTGTTCTTGATTGGTTGCATTGTGTTACCTGTTGTTCCATCACAATGACGGCGAATTCTCCAATGAAGCACAGGAAGAATCCAGGTTCAATTCCATGCCACAGAGCCACGAATGCGAGCGTTAAGAAGTGCGACAGAAGTTTATTACCCAAGAAACGCAGTCTTTTGTACAAATACCTAGAACATCAGAGGGAATAATTTGAAGATTAACAAAAGAGACTGAATGGCGTCATTCCAAGGCCAGAAGTATCAAGAAATAACCACTCCTGGGTCATGAATTTAGTCTACGCGTGACCGTGTGAATAACATCTTTCTTTATTCGACGATCAAGCTCAAAATTAACCACATATTTATCTGGAAAGTTAGAGAGCAAGCACCCAAGAAACCATATTTACCTTAAGTATACCATGTTTATAGAGAGCAAATAATCGCTACCCACTGATAATCCTCTTTGGAATATTTTGTGAAAATATGCATGTTGTCCTTTTAAACTAGTGCCTTTAAAGAACCAAAATTCCACTTACCTAAACATCCATTGGTTCGTTTTCAAATTAAATGCATCTATTACATGCTGTAGGGAAAGGTAAGGGAAAATTAGGCTCTGACTAAGGTAATAATACATCACAGAGTTATGAGTGGAAAAGGGAGCCATATATGTTGCTGTTACAAAACGTCGAAGTAAAACTTTGGAAACATTTTAAAGGCGATCAGTTGGTGAAGACATTGATTAACCACTTTCACAAGCACTACAACTGTAACATAAACAACGTTTATACAAATTGTGACAATGTGGTTAGGCTTCCTATGAATTAGCAGATTTTTTTGTTTTTGTTAAAGAAACCGGACTAAATACTTAGATGGGAAAGGTGGCAACATGGACCAGCATTCTTACTGCCTTCTTTCTACATTCTTACTGCCGCAACTCTGCAAGTAGTTCTCTGATTCAGAACCTATCATGATTCATTAACTTCAGCACCTACCTTCCTTACAGTGTCACTCGTGAATCAAACAATGATGTTAGAGGAATAGGGGAAAATAATCGCCAACCAGAGAATATCTTGATTGTTAAACCTTACCACATAAAATGTAAAGAAAACAGTATTGAACGTATATATAGTGATGTGAGGGTGTCAAAGGTTAAGTTATACCTGAAATCTGTAGGCACATTCAAAGAGAAGAAGATGGACGTTATTACAGCCATCCCATCTGACTCGGCCATCCGCTGACCGACCATTGTAACCCAAACCTGATATGATACAAGAACCTTCCTGAAGATAAAAGATTAAAAATAAGGAACAATATTGATGCTTGCTAAGAATGACATAATGAACAAATAATCCTGCCTTGAAATACAGTAATGTTCTGTGCCGATCAAAAATAACAACTTGTTTTTAAGTTCATCGATCCAACGCTACAAAATACGTGTAGACAAGTAATTGTACAGAGAATTCCACCTTGAGTCTAAAGACTGGAAGATATCAACAAACTTAAAAAAGAAACAAAAGTGAATTGACGGTATGCCTCTTTTTTTCCTATTTTCTTTCAATAAGTCTTGAAATAATATATGAGTTGGATTATGGTAACCAATTGGGTTCTCTCTGAGCCTCTTCTTTGAAATGTCGATCATTACAACGTAATACTTACCGCTATTAACCAAACTGCTTGGTATTTCATAACACTGACTTTTGTAGTTGCAATGGCATAACAAAGCTTAAACAAGAACGATTTTTTCTGTATGAAAAGAAATAATCAAATCAAGTTCCTTAATTTAATCCAGTAATTCTAACACCGGGTTGCGTTTAATTTTTGTTAAATTTTTGTTAACATTGATAGGCAAGGCAATTTCTGGGAACAATTTTGGACATGGATAGTACCGTGTCACTAAGCTCGTGTTATGAGCACATCACTGAGGCCACTAATTCCCAATCGATCGCGAATAATATCATAAGGTCGGTAATGCAGTATGTATAGGCAACTTTTCAACCAGGGTGGTTCCTCGCTTCCAATTTTTTTCCTTTTTGTTTTCCTCTCTCTCCAAGGGAAGGGAAGAAGAGAGACCCTGGGAATGAGGTTGGGTGTATCGCACAAACTTGGACGCAAATAAATTATATATTCGCTCAGTTACCACGCATGAGTGTTAAAATGCAACTTGAACAAACAAACAGGCACTGCAATTAGGTTAAATAGTCACCGATAAGAGTTACTCACATCGTACTCAGCAGTTGCTAGGAAGCTCCCTTTAACTCTTGGCTGCAGCAAAGTGAATGTTACTAGGTACATTATTCCAATGATGAAACGCTTAAGGCCAGCTAAATTCCTAGAAAGGAAATAGAGTAAGATTACTCGCTCATCATAGAAAGAGAAAGTACGCATTTGATGTTTTGCCGGATACATCAAGAAAGAAAGAGCAAGGAACGTGTTGCCTCTTTTGATCATTCAGAAAGGAGAACAATTTTCAGTCGAGTGTCAAAAGTAATCCTAGATTGCATTGGTTTTTCTTTACTTCGCTTTGTGATTGGTCCGGAAAAATTGCATCAGCCTCTCAACCAATAAGATGCAAAACTAAAACCAATCACGACTTGGTCACCCGCGCTTTCCCGCGCTTTAGGCGGTTTGGTTGTTCTTACTTTTAGTTCTCATTGGCTCTTAAAAGTATTTTCCTTTCTTTCGATTGGCTGTGGTGATTTCTTTGGTTTTGCTCTACGACACTCGATCGAAAAGCGCTCTGTCTTTTCGCCAGCTGAAGCGAAACTATACTGAACAAAAACTTGCGGCAGTGAACTCCACTCACCGAGAATTCGAGATGTCGTCTTTCTTGTCAATCAGACGTCCCTCAATTAGTTCCAAGTATTTCCTTATTGGAAACTTGAAAAAATTCCTCAATGAATTAGGGCTCGAGAGGTCGATTGTAAAATTTTGTCAAAATACATTAAAAAACAAAGATAATCCACATGATTAACACTCGCAAAAGAGTAATGCCATTACCGTAGTAAAAACTAAACATGAAAGGCATCAACCAGAAGCGAAGAAAGGGGAACCACACATGACAAAACATAAAGAGGAACATGGTCACCATAACACTAAAACAAAAAACCGAGAAAGCGCGCAACACTAATTTAAAGATTAAATTAAAAAAGCGCACATCATTTGAGTAACGACTAGACAAGACAACTCATCGCATCAAATGGTAATAAATCAATATAAGGAGCGTACCCATAAATAGCGTAACTATCAATAAAACAACTTAAGTGCGCGCAAAACTAAAATGATATTAAAGCACAACAATAATAGCAATCCATCACTAAGACACAGAGCGCGCGCGTTTCACTTACGTAACAGATACTGAACCAAGTGAGCACAAGTCACTACCGTTAAAATCGAACACTAAACAAAACGAGCGCGCACAATTTGGGAACAATCAAGCACGAAACAGAGAGAGCGCGTATCACCAACGTGACAATTAAACAGTAAACAGAGCGAGCACCCACACGATCAAAACAATCAAACCCTAAACAAAGAGTGCGCTAGCTCAAGCGTTTGAGACAAAATCTAGCCAAGGGCGGGCACGTTACTATCATGACAACGACACGCAAGAAAGAGAATGGGCGTTACTAATACAACACACAAACTTAAACAAAGTAAGCGCGAGCATCACGAAAACTACACTTGAACGGAAACATAAAAAACGCTTCTAAGACGTAGCAAGGAAACATAGGGAAACTGAACCTACATCACCTGATTACGAAAAAAAGAAAATTTTTAATTTAAAAACGGTTGCTTTTACCTGAGGTCCAACGAGAAACCCTCCAAAGAAGAAGCAATAGCTTGCTATCTAAAACATAGAGTGAGTTAAGCTGAGGAAGGTGGGGAGATAGGATTGAACAAAGGCATTATAAGTTTTTCTCAAAGTTAGCAGTTATGTAGAGAAACTATTGTCTGAACGGAGTCAGATGAATGAAATCTATTTCTTCTAAACTTATTTATCATTTTTTACTAAAAACCACTCGTAGTTTAGTTCATGCTACTTTCTCGTAGCTCAATGAAAGCAAATTTATGGGATGAGTACATTTAAAAATACGAAAAGCAATCAGTCTTGAAATTGCAAACCAATTCATTAATTTTTTTTCAGGGTAGATTTAAATGAACGCAAATACTTTTTGTGAAAATAAAAAATTGAGGGCCCGTGGGAAAAGTCTCTTTGACATACGGTGACATTTTTTATCGCCAAACCTCTTTCCGGATAACATTGGTCACATGTTCATTTACAGTGAGTAACAAAAAGTGTTTCAGGCAGCAAAAAGAGCCGATTATTTTCGAGATGTCCATACCTGCAAAAGCGATGGGCAGCTATAGATGGCAGTACTTTTGAAATCTTCAGACAACTTCTCCTGATAAAATATTGTTTGTTAATGTTAATTCAGCGCGAAAAACTATGTTATTGAGTGAGTGTCAATCCTTATTTGTTTATTTATCCATGTATTTCCTAACAAATTGTTTTGCTACATCAGAGGGTAAATGACGCACTAGGTAATTTTTTGTTAGAGACAAACAAGTTCAAGAATACATTTACATCAGACTGCATTCTATAACATCAATAGGGAAAGAAGAAACGAAACGGTGCAGAGGCGCGAATGGTCACGATAAAGAGACACAACAGCAAATGAGCCGCACGAGAAGGGAACACAACGCTAATTTTCAGTCACAAACAACTAATCTGAGCTGTCATTATTTATCGCAATGACGTTTACCTGATTTCCTCCCCTCCTCCCCCCTCAGGCTCTGTAGTATTGTTCTAATCCCCCTCATGGGCAGTTGATCTTTTATTATCCCTCTTTGTCCCCCGACGACTGACACCCCTCCGTCCCCCCCTTAAAATCACGTGATTCCAGAAGATCTTCCAAGCCCCCCTTCCCAGGCGATAAGAACGACTCGTCCCTCAGAGACAAACTTGTCGTGTGGTATTCGCTCGCTGGAAGCTTGTGGTTTCAGATAGAGTTGCTTGAGTAACTTCATGGGATAAGATACAATAATTTTTTTATTAATTTCATCAAAAGATTATCCAAATAAGTTTCGGTGCATATTTTGTTTTACTAACCTGGTCTTGATGTCCGTCGTAATAATCCCAAGCCAAACCTGAAGAGGATTGAAAGATTTGTTGGGTAAATATTGAAAAATTGTAAACATGAGGATAGCTAACAAGAATTAAATAAATAGTGGAGTATACGATAACTCTTATAAGGATTTGTTACGACAACGTGACGAACCTCAGTATGGAACATTTCAGCTTATTTTTCTGGTTCATCGTAGTTGTCATGGTAACCTCAACGCTATGCGGCTTTCTCTTTTTACTTACCAGTAAGACGAAGGCATAGTACACAGTGAGCTGTCGTCCATGATACTGAATAATCGTTAGAATACGACTTGAAAACGTATCCAGTGATAAGATAACCCTGAAAAAAAAAATAAGTACGGATAAAAAAAGGAAAAACACACACAAGCAAACTAAGATAATTATCTCAGACGTAATTGCTGGTGTCTCCCTTCTGGGAATTGGCTTGTTGTAATTTCTATGATCACTTTACGGCATGTAAATCAAACATGACAGCAAAAGTTTGCTTGTTGTTAGCATTTACTTGCTGCAGTTCGCTTGCGGTGGCCCTTATCGCCTTTAGAACAGGTGTCGTTTTTTTTTTTTTCCAAACGCGTTGAGATAAGCTCGAGACGAGCGCAAAATGTATGTGACGAACGTTAGGAGCTCCCTTCGCCCGTGACCGACAAGCTCGACTCGCGCGGAAGTCTGCTCAGATGAAAAGCGCAGAACAAATTGCGCAGTTTCTTGGCCTTTGTTTACCGCAGTTTGCCTGTGGTGAGCTGTTTTTTTTTCTTTTTAAATATTGGATTTACGTCGGCTACTTCTGTTTTCTGAAAACTGCCAAAAAAAAACTTACGATAGCGGCAGTTCAAATTTAACTTCAACTTGTGAGCAGTTTTTTTTACTACTTTTGGATGTTTACATTCTGTTTCGAATATGAGATCATAGACAATCTTACCACATTTAGCAAAAACATCAGGATAACTGTCACGGTTTTAGGTCCGCCGAAACGTAGTAACAAGTAGGCCAAAAGGATGTTAACAACAGAGTGAAAACAAGACCAACCTAGAAACAGAACAAAGGCAAAAACTTATCGTTTTTGGTGACTAGTTGTTTGATTTCTTCTGAGTGACATGCTTGAATTAGTTGACAGGAGTTTGGCAGAAATCTAATGATCATACATGGGGTGCAAAAAAAATATTAATTAGGTAAATATACTAGATTTTAGTAGCCGGTAACCGGTCAAGTCGCCCGAAAGTCATCTCGCCCGAAGTCATGTCGCCTGAAACCAGAGTCATGCCGCCCGAAATTCATAGTCATGTCGCCCGAAATTTTATTGAGCGTTAAATCTTGAAGAAAAGTAACAATCGCAAGGAATAAACTCGTAAAATGTTTTCGTCCGCTAACCTATGCGAATATGAAGTACAACAAAGACTCAAATATCGCTGTTCGTTTCAGCATTGTTCGTTGCTATGAACTAAACTACTCACTCTACAGTACAGATTCTAGTAATTATAAGCGGAACACTTTCAGTTATCAGAATTTTTCTCACATACCAGAAAAATACATCAAGTTCTCTTCGTTTGATTTATCGTATAAAAAACAACCTGAAACTTTTACAACGGTTTTTTTGTTTATTGTTAACCACGCGAACAAAGCGTGTTACTGGCATCATTCCCCCTTAAGATCAGATGACTTTCAGGCGACTTGACCGTAAACCTGCGTAGCCCTAGGTTTGCGGTTGATTTTTTTTTGTTGTTGTTGTTTTTCTTTGTTCGCTGGTCTTTTTTCTTTTAATCAGGAAACAAACAATTACGAATCAGGCTTAAACGGATAAAGCCTGCAACTCAATAAATCCAAAATACCACTTTGGACAATTTTTAATTACATTTTTCACCGCAGTTTGCGTGACAAGTTAAAGCCTTTTTGTACTTTCTTTATTCAAAGGCTGAATGAACTAAGAGGACACAGCGGAAAATTAAAGGGACTTGAACGAGCAAATCCCAGTCACACTGGATCCGCGTGAGATTGCAGTGAAACTGATGAACTCACTATTAACCGTTGATTAATGAAAAACTGAATTGCTCAAGGAAATGATACCCTCAGATTTGCCGATTGTGTTTTCTTTTGTGAAATAACTTAAGTTTAAAAAAAAAATCAATCAATCAAGAATCGATTTTGTTGAACAAATAAATAAATCCTGCGTGACCAGTTAATTTGTCGGCGTGTACCCACGAGGAGCTTGCGTGACAAGTTTTGAATTTCATGTTCGTTTCACTCACCAAAACAAAAGAAAGCTAGCAGAAGCCCACACACAGTGATGAAGAAGTGCTGCGGGGCGAAAGAAGAATAATTATGATTTTTAAAAAAGTTCATTAGGTCACAAGTATTCACTGCAAGTGGTCAATAGAGGCTCTCACCTGAGTGGTTGGGTTCTTCCGATAACAAAAGGCTCTATAAACAAAAGCTAGCGGCAAACCTAAATGAAAGAGTGTGAAGTGGAAGACAAAATTAAATGCACCCGTGGAGAATATTCATTTCAAACACGAAAATTATGAGTGTCAATTTTTTTAAATATTCGACTCGACTTGCCCCAAAATGGGCAAAGCAATATAGCTAAGTTTAAGTTGTTTGTTTACAGCCACTTATGTGTTTTGGGTCCGACATCTGTGTTCATAAAGTGATTTTCAAGCAACTCTAATTTTTCATTTTCGTTATGTGTAGGCGATGTAGGTTACTTTTTTAATTGCTGAAATCAATGTACCATCACTCCTAAATTCAACGAATAGGTTTGATCGCTTTTCAAACAACCGTTGACCTGAGATGAGTCTTACACGGAATTTTGTAAAGTGTGTCGCCTCATCAACAACATACTATTATAAATACCTTGTATTACATAATCTCTAAGAAAACCTACCATACCTCGTGACTACTAGTGAAGCTTGTGTTAGGTTAACCAAGGCCAAGTAAACAGGCGACTGAACAGAATTACAAGACAATTCAGCCATGTAATTTCAATCGTACAGTCTACCAAGAGGTAACGGTTCACTGGCGATGAGGTTATAAGCTCCCGCCTTATATTATCGAACCAGTATGACTGCGGACATGAAGCAAGAGTGTCACCGTTGAATACATACCTGCGAACAAGCTGATCGTTAGGCAAAGAACAGATTCCGCCACTCCAGCGCGCTTGGCTGCGTAAGCTATCAAGTTCTCCGTATTGCTGGCTGTTTCCATTTCCAACCGTAAATACCAGCTTTGTTGAGATAAGAGTGTTAACCAGAGTGTTGAGACAAATCCCAAGGAAATTTAATTTGCATCGAGTAGGGCGATAGAGGAATTGTTGCTCATCGTAGATACAAATCCGAGCAACAAGCCTATGCGCATAAATTATTTCACCGCAATGGTGATACTTTCGAAACGGTTTTCCGAGCGGGCTTGTTTTGTCACGCAATCGCGTGGAATTATTGATAAAATCTTCTGCGAGGGATCGATTTTTTTTCTGTTTCTTTTTCTTGTCTTTATTTTTGTTTTTGAAAGCTTTTTTTTAGAGACATTGTTCTTTCACGTTCTTGCTACCAAAAAATGTTCAAAATAGTAATCATACGAAACACAATATGACTGAGGGCTGCCAAATTCCTAGAGTACTTTCCTTTCCTTTACGTGTCACTTAATGGATATGCGGAAGTGATAATTTTTGACTTTACCGAGTAACAACTGTTGGATAAATGTCGCAATACACCGCATTTAATTTTAACCAAAGTAGCTTTTCGCAGCCGATTGAGAGTATTTTAAGAACTTATGGATATTATTGACTTAAAATGAAGTATTGAAGTATTGTGGTTCATACTTCGGTCCAGTCACTATTTATGACGGTGGGGAGGGGGGGGGGAAGTTGGGTGGGGTCGGAGTCTTTTTGCGAAACGCCTGATGCATAGAGTGCGGCAGTTATTGCAACCAACAGACCAAGAGACGAATCCAAAGTTTAATGAATACTTAAGGATCGCAAGTTTTACCTAAGTGAGACATTTATGTCACAGTTGAAAACCTTCATTATGAAGTTGCTTCTAATAAAACCCGCAACAAATCGGTCGCTGTTTTAATCAAGAAATTATCTTCATGCTCACAAATAAAAAACTCACACTCTCATTCATTTGAAAAGGAAGCCTCCACTTCATTATCGACTGCTTCGAAGTGGCTTAAATTTGTAACCCACAAAAGGGGATGAAAATGAGTTGTATTAGGAGTCTCTCCTACTAACCAATAGCACTCGTTTGCACAGAAACAAGTTCAGGTTAACAAATAGATTAGGTTCCAAGTCGCGGTGCACTGGATCACAGATGACGTCAAATGAAGTAAGAACAAAGGAGTAGCAGTGTCACTGATGTCCTTGCCACATTTTGACGTTTTCTGTTATCTATTACTACACAAACACACGGCAATATAGAATCTATTCGTGTTATACTATAATTAAGAAAATTTTGTCAATAGTCACATCATTTATGCGTCTGTCCTTCAATAGATCATAAATTAGAAACTATCAAAATGTGTGTATACCTCAGTTTACGATAAAAACCCTTTTGAGACCATCAAGATAGAGGAAATCATCATTACCTTTCTCTCCTTGTGAAGAGGAGAGCCTAATGTAGAGCAGCCCGAAAATGAGGTTGAACTCTTTCTGAGGCACACAGCAAAAGCAATACAGAACGATAATTTAAGAATAAGATAATTTAAGAAATATGATAATCAATTTGACAGTTTGTGTTAAAAAAGCAAGTAAACAACAACAGCGCTTAAAGTATACTTTCCAGTATGACCTGAGCGATGCAAGTGATGTGGGAGGTAGAGCAGATACTTGCAGGAACGTGTAGGACCACAGTTACCTTGACAGTAGCGTCCGTTCTACTCGCTATATACCTTACTTTTGTTAAACACTTAACACAGGAGTTGCAATGAAAGCTCTCGCCCCACGGCACAGCTGCCTATAACACTATCGGCAGCCGCTTATGGATAAAAGTTATTGAAACCCCTGTTAACAGCAATGAGAGTAAAAAAAAAAAAAAGCAAACAAACAAACAAAAAGGCTCAGTCTTTTTTCAAACAAGAACATCTAGGAAAATCTACGTTGCTGTGGTTAACACCCTGCAATTCACAGCTAACATAAGATAACATTACATGGAATCTAACTTCCAAATAGGAAACTCATCCATACGTAAATCTAAAAACCTATCAGAGGGAAGAGAAAGACTCCTATGGAATTTCTCTAAATAAAAACTACATATTAAAATTGTTAATAGCCGAAACCAAGATGTAAAAAAAAACATTTTTTAACAACTGATAACAGTAATAAGAAAAAGATTCAACAATTTTTTTACTGATGTTCAATACTTTAATAATCCAGATAACCGCGTGACTAAGGAACAAGATCAAGTGACGGCCTAGTCTCCTGAGCAGCAGTTGTATGGTCTCGTCACGCAACGCACTCTCTCCCCCACCACTAGGAGAGAACTCGTCGTGAGACGAGAGCAAACAACGCCTGCGAAGGAGACTAGTGACGGGCCAACCAAATAAATCTGAGATTAACTCAGCTTCTTTACTGGATTAAAACAAAAATAATGTAATACATCTAGAACTGAAATCACACGGAAACAAATTATTCGATTAAGATTGTGCAAAAACTTGCTTGAAAGTAAAAAAGACAGGCTTCAGTAAATATCTCCCAACACTAGCTCTGGAGATGCGAACTAATAAATGCAATGCCTCTTCTGCAGATATCCTAGTTCTCTTTCTTTGACCTGCAAACAAAAAACTTAATTTACTTTAATTAATTCTTGATTCTGGAATTCGCAAAAGTGTTTCTATAACAACCAACTTACCAGAACTGCCTCAAATATTACACACAAATCAAAGTAATCACAACAGCCAATCACGGTAAAGCAAAAGATCACAACGGGCCAATGTCAAGTCAGAAAAAAACAAGCAAACTGCCTGATAGACGAGAAAAAGTGAGTAGCCAAGGCACGATCGGTTTAACTTATGTATTTCATTGGTTGAGAGGGTGGTGTGAGTTTTCAAGAGAACGAAGTTTAACAAAACCAGTGCAATATTGGATTACACTAGGAGGAGTTTGTTTTGACAAACCCGGGCTTAAGTGAGCGATATGTCCAATTTTTATGGATGATTCTAAACCAGTTGCGAACCTACTAACCATAAAGGAGCTTCGAAAAGACATATTTAAAAGGACAGTTGTACATCATCATGTGTCAGTGTGTTAGGACTTGTGTCTTACTAGCCTGCAGAGCAGGCGTAGTTTTGGCGAACGAGTGCATAGTATTTTCTTAACAAAATTATGGCCGCCATCTTTGATTTTACGACAGCAGAAGGCTGGGGAGAGAAAGGAATTTGTACCAAGGGGGCGGTCAACGGTCAAAAATAAGGAGAAGGGTAGATAAACGATCGCGAGCTTGTTACGTTTGCTCACCCTAATAAGACGCCTGCACTGCAGGCCATACGCTAGTGTCTTACCTGTCCTTTTTATCTTGTGTCATCTTTTTAAAGACTGGGTAGATGATGATTGGATAAAGCGAGTGCCATATGACTAATATCACTGGGACAATGTAGTAAATTGAACTCCAAACCTACAAACCACAAGTCGGAGTAGAAAGACTCGTGAAAATGAGCTGGAAAATAGCACTTAATTTAGATATTTTCAATCGAACATTTTCAACGTTACATATATAATTTTCTTACTTTCAATCGACAACCAAGATCTAAGAAAGAGCTTTTTTCCGTTGGCAGTCATTTCCTTTATTCTCAAAACCTTAATGTTTGATTCAGTGGTAATAATGTACGAAGGAGATAGATGCTATTCACTTCCGGTGGTTAATGGGATAAAAGCAACCTCGAAAACCTCTTAGGTATAAGATGTTTAACAAACGCCATGTTGCCCTTCAAGACGGGCATATTTTATGGGGAGAATTTAGGCGAAACTATCCTATTGTGCTAAAAAAAAAAAAAGAGCCCATACTGTTGTGCGCTATTCTGAAGATGAAAAGCACTTCAAAGCAACCTCAGTGAGGCCTCATTCAAACTGTAGCCTAAAACCTGATGCCGTGTTAGCCTAAATTCACTGACCCGTCCCCACTCGTCTCTTATTTTTGATTTGTAGCCGCAGGGTTACGAGGGAATTAGCACTACCAAGACGCAGGGGTCGATGGGAAGAACCTCTCGCGTGCTTTTCTCATCAATATTTAGCGGTAGAATGACGACTGTCGAGTTCGCTAAATGCTTATAAAGCGTTTACCTACCCTGTGAAAACGCGAGACGATCAATAGATTAAAAGGCACCATGAAATACGCCAGGCCAAAATGTACAATGAACATACAAGTTGAAATGACAGGAAATTTGACGTATGCAGGCATCTCTGACAAGGGCTTCTTGGTCACGGTATTACACATACTTAGTACCTGAGTAACGAGTAGAAAACAAAACTGTAAGTTGTATGTTGGCAACTTACATAAATACACAATATATTTAGAAACCAATCTAAAATAGTAATATGGGCACGAGGTAGTTTGTGCAAACGCAAAATAGTCTTTAGAAATTCTATGCTTGTTTTCTTTAAAATGTGTGGGAAAACATGAATGATTTGGAATTGAATCGTTTTGCCTACGGCGTGCGTCAGCTTGTAACCGCACTAGTATCCAACATCTTCGTCTTTTCGTTACTTGTATTATGTCTTTGAATCTCCTTTTTCCTCTTCAATTTATTGTAGTAGTAATTAAAAGGCACCCACTGAGTGATAAAAATATATTTACCTGTTTTTCCATCACCATGATGACAAATTCTCCAAAGAAACAAACGAAATATCCCAAAAACAATCCATGCCACAAAGCAAGGAACATCAGCGAGAGGAAATGCGACAAGTTTTTGTTCCCAAGGAAACGAAGACGCTTGAAAAAGTACCTGCAACCACGAACCGTCCAAAATGCTTTAAATGGTTGGTATGGTATAACCTAAGATTTTTAATTCACTTTGTCGAAGTGGAGGTTACATTCTCAGGATGTTTTGTGTTTAAGCACGTACTACAAGTCAAGCAGGCATATCAGGATTCTCAACGTAAGTCTATCGAAATACACTACGATGCTGAACAGGTCTGAACATCGCCTGTGAGGAAGCCTCGTTAGCGTTGCGAGGGATCTAGTTTCAGAAAAAACGTAGATCCTTGGCAAACATCAAACATGCCCGCAACACTCGCCAGCTCGAAGACCGCGAGGTTCGTCGCTTTGTCGCTCCTGCCGCAGCGCCAAGTAGAGCCTGCTCAAAAGCTTCTCTGAATACTACTCGGGAGGGGAGGGGGGTAGTTTAGAGACTGAGTATTCAACAAGAGACGCTTTGGACATCGCTAGCACCAGTAGTATTCAAGGAACTGGCTCAGTAGAGGAAATAATGTTCACTGACCTGAGTACCCATTTATTGGTATTGATATTAAAGGAATCAACGCAATGCTGTAAGAAAAAAATTTTTATAAAAGTTCAATCTGACTTATATGTAACATGTAACTGACACAGATTCTACAAAACAAAAGGCAGTGGAATTGAACATTTAACCCATCGAGAAAAACTTCTTCCATTTATTTCTTTTCGTTTGATTGTTTGTTGTTGTTGGTTTTTTAATAAGGGAAAGAAAATAATAACAATATTTAAGCATGTTTTATGTAAGAAATACCAGGGATACAGACTGGACAAATTACTGATGACTGTCACATTTGAGATAAAATTATAATTAGCAGCAACACCCCAATTCCTGTCACTCCCAGGATCCAAATACCATTTCTCCACACTATCTGCCATATTTTTTCTTATACTTTCGTATGGAGAAGTTGGTAGTAAATCATACAGTAACCCTTTGTCAATACCTTTTTGTTATTCCCACCACCTTCCCAATTTTGGAAAAATTAATAAATATAACACAAAAGATATTCCTTTTGGCTGCTTGTGGAATGATCATGTGCTTAGTGGAAAGAATGTAAGCTCACTGAAACTGAAGGAGATGAAATTATTTATGTATTTATTTATCAATTTTTTTTCACTGTACATGGCTGCTTAAGCTTTACAAACTAATAACACATACAATAAAGATAATGAACTCACCTGGAAAAGGTACATTGTTTCGTACACTGAGAGCCGTATATTTCTAAGTCCATCCCACTTTACTACACCATCTTCGGTTTTACCATTGTAGCTGATTCCAGAAATAATACAGCTGCCCTCCTAAAACCAAAACAGATCAATTTAAGAGGAGGCCCATAAACTTTGGGAAGTTGTTGATACACAGTGAGAAATAATCCAAAAGATAATTTTCACCTTCTTTCTGAACACATGCCAAATTTGGTTTGTTAGTGTCAAGTATGAAATAAATGCACGTGCTCATTACTTATTTGTACCCACATGTGATTGTTGCCCCGGGTTAGTTAACCTTTAATTCCAAATATCAAACTGTTAATTATCTCCTCTAGCCACTACACATTTCCTTGTAAATTAGTTACAAGAAGTTACATGTTGATAACTTCTGGGAATTAAACTGTTAATGATTTGTTTGTACTCACAGAGAGAAGCCACACTGCCAGGTACTTCATGAATGTCACTCTGCTATAAAAAACTATATACCAGACTTTTGCAAGAAATGAATACTCCTACAGAAAAAAAATCAGAGAGAGAAGATCTTGACAGCTTTACACAAATTAGGAGGCTTTTGGCTGACCAGGATATAAGAAAATATCATAGAGATAGTGAGAGATCCAAGTAAATAAGCAACCTTCCTGACTCCAAGAAAACTGCATGTGACCAAATCACAATGGGTATAGCTTTTTAAGTGATTAATAAAGGGGCACTGCAATTTTTCCCAGCTCAAGCACATCTAACATACAATATAGTACACAAACATTAAGAAATTCCCTGAAACCTATTAACTAAAGAAATTAACTTACATGTATCTTGGAAAATTTCATATTGTAACTTTAATTTAGGGCATATAGCTTTCTAACAAGTTGATGATAAGAAAAACTTGTCTAGGGTTTTTCATTCAAAAGTTGGAAGTACATGTACCATAAAATTTAATGTTTCTGTCACTCTATAGCTGGCCAATGCTACACCCAATGCATACTGGTCAAAACTGGGTCTTTAATACTTCTTACAGACCTGAAATGCATCTGATAAGAGCCCAGTTTCTGAGAACCATGCATGTAATGCACCATAAAGGGCAAGGTACAGGATGCCAAGAACCATGCGCTTCAAACCTGATGCAACCCTACATAATTAAAAATCAAACACTTCTTACAGTAAATGAAAGGGTTAAGAGAAAAATTTAAGGAAAGGACACTGTATGTAACTCAACAAAAAACTTTGCCCAGCCACAGGAATTGAACACAAGCCTCAACATTGGGAAATGAGTATTGCCACCCCTGCACCATCCCTGATCCCTGGTTCCCCTGTTAGGGGAAATCTACAATTTTTCAGTGGACAATTATTGTGCTCCTGATTGGTAATGGGGCAAACCTGTGCAAGCAAGACAAATGATCCCCACAAAATTGTCATAAATAGAACCATGACATAGACCACCCAGCTTTGCAGCTACTTCATTTGCCTAACTCTTAGGTGTGACTTTGACAAGATTATAATATTGTGTGCACAACAGCAATGGGTAAGCCACTCACCGGCCATTATCATCATCTTTCTTGTCCATTAGCGTCCCATTTACAAATGCTAAGTACCCCTTGGTTTGAAACTAGGACAAAAAAAAACAGAAAGACAAACAAACAACAACCAAATTTTCAACAGTACATTTACAAAAAAAGTGTTACATGCAGCTGAGGATTTTGTGCATTCTTTCCATGTTTCACTCCACTTTGAAGGATTATGAAAACCATTTGTGTTGGCCACTTAAATGATTTCGTACTTACCAGGCAAAAATTACATAATTTGATATAGCACACCCAAAATAAACACTAAACCCAATGACCGTAAAACTATGTAAAAAATTCTTAACAGCATTTAGAGAGGAAAATGAAGTTTTCACAAGACTATGTAATCATTATAGCTGATTTGCCTTTTCAGGTTAAATTATCTCACACTTCATTTACTTAACATCTGTTTTTTTGTGTAAGGTGCAACAATGACTAACTCCCCTCATTAAGAAGGTAATAGAGATCATTGCTGAGAATTCACCAATACATATTAACTAAATAAAGGGGGAAGTTTCTACAGAAACTGTGGTGCTGCATTAGTGGGAGAGTGTAACAAGGTAATTTAGAGTTATCAACTGAGGTGATAAAGTAAATTGGCCACCGTAAAGAGTTAAAAAGCTGACTTTCTGCCGAAGGGCTGAGGCTCAAACATTCAGCTTTAAAACTCTTTATGGTGGCCAATTTTACAAATATCAACTCAGCTGATGATACATATTAACTGCTTGTGATACTAAGTATAATGATGCTTGTTTGTTGAGTATAATACTATGTATATGGATACTTGTTTGTTGTTTACCTGGGGACCAACTAGAAATCCTCCATAAAAGTAGCTAAGACCCATCATCTTAACAAAATAGGGAAAAAAGCATAAAAGATAAGTATTCAATTTGTATGAGGTGCGAAGATTCATACCACTTTATCACTATAAGTGGTCTGTTAGACTTATATAAATTAGGCAACATGTTGTTGAGATAACAGCTTGAGCGTCGCACTGGGGTGTTTTTTTTTTTAAATTTTTCTATCTGTGCATTAAACCCCTTAACCCTTTAATCCCTAAGAGTGACCAGCATCTAATTTCTCCTTACAATATCATCTTTGAATTAAACATCAAGGTCATGAGAATAAAGGAAATGATCATCGACTATAGCAGCTCTTGATTATTAAACAAACTCTCATTGTCAGCACCTGGGGAAATGTATAGCAAATAGTATAGAGAACATGGATACTGATGTTAGGGCATAGAGGGTTATATCCCATGGGTGACCAAGGCAGAATTTTTTTCATTACAATGTTAATACAATGTCTAGTCGACAAGTGATGAGAATAAAGAAAATACCAGTTAGGGATTTTGTTAGTTGAGCCTATGCTAAATTCTCCATCATGAAAATTTTATAGCAGACAGTGAGGAAAATTACCAATGAGATCTCAGGAGTGAAACCAGTTAGAAAGTAAAATAATGCACGTTGTAAAAATACTGATAGAAGTTACCAAAATGAAGAACTGATAAGTACCTCCAGTAGTGTCGGGGGTGTTGCAATGGCAGTGGTCTTTTGATCAGCGGATATTTTCTCCTAGAGTGAAAAAATAGGTATCTCACCAGTCCAATTACCTTCATGTTGTCCTTTACTAAGAGTTCTGTCATGTGTTAAGCTTAAAAGGCATTAACAGGGCACAATATTCAACTACCACAAATACTTTTTTACCTTGAATTCTTTATTCTTACTAATCTACAAATTAATGTCAGAATTTGTAGCCTTCGGTTTGTACACAGGTATGTTTTTTATTTTCATTGAAAGTTGTGGTAGCCAAGTGGTTACATGCTCAACTTTTGATTTGAACCCAAAGCCACTTCTGTTGTGTTCTGAGGAGAATTCTTTTCTCTTACAGTGCCCCTCTCCACCCAGGAGTATCAGTGGGTACCAGCAATTCAAGAAGCAAACCTCAATGTCATTTCATATACACTGTAACAGAACTTAAGAAGATCTCTTACAGTGCCAACTACATGAGTTACAGTATTCTCATGTGAAGATGTTTAACATTCATCATCTTGGTTTCTATTTGGTTAACATTATTATTTCCTGCTCACATTTTCTGTTCATGAATGGCGATATGTAAAATTCTTTAAACACTATCTTGACGTCACTGACAGTTTCAGTCTGGAATCATATTTGCAGCAAATTATTTCCAAGCAGAATTGTTATATTTTATATCCATATCTTTGATTTCTGATATGTAGTGTGTAAGATTCATTTATCAGCAAGTTCAAAACAAACCCTACCTGGTCTTGATTTCCATCATAGTAGTCCCAGGCCACACCTACAAGGAGACATTTTAGAGTCAAGAAATGCTTGACTTAGGTACAACAGAGGGAAATGTAGTGGCCTAAAGGTCTGCAGACTGGATTTGGGGGCTAAGGGTAAAGGGTAAAAAACCTGGCAGGGTCATCATTGTGTTCTTGATGATGATAATGATGATGATAATAATAACAATAATAATAATAACATTAATATTAATAATAATAATAGTAATAATAATAATAACTTTAGACACAAGAACACTTATGAGCAAGGAAAGCTCATTACAAAAGTGTATGTGTATAACTAAAATTAGTTGGTAAATCTATATATATATATATATATTTATATGTATGTATGTCTTTATGTATGTATATATGTGTGTATATATAATATATCTTATTATAGGACATACAGGCCATTACAATTGCATTACACTAAATGAGAATAATGATAATACATGCACACAAGGTGCATTTACAATCTAACTCATTCAATTTTAATTTCTTTAACTCACTTATAAACTTATAAATCCTACTAACATCCCTTACTTCTTGTGGAAGATTATTCCAAAGCCTACTACCAACGTAAGAAAAGGAGCAATGCCCAAAATGAGATCTACAGGCAAAAAAACGGCAATAAAGCTACCATACATCAATCAATGACCAACCAAGAACTTACTTATCAGCTTTAGACACAGAATACACTGGGGTGTGGTCCAGTTCACATCATACCCCCCTGAGGCATTGTAGATATAGCCACTTAATAAATATCCCTGGAAAAAAAAACATAAAATAACAAACTGAGTGTACTATATTCTTTGTTGAATCCTTTATTAACTACTAAGATAATTAAATCAATACCCAATCATTTGTAACTCCTTAAAATTAAGCTGACATTGTAATTTAACACATAGTTTTTAAAAATAAATTCAGTGGAACCAATTAAATTCTCCTCACAAATCCATATGCACTGTAGTTGTGTGTAAGTTAGTTGGATTGCACAAAGTTTCTGAGTTCATTTTATACCATGACACAAAATATGGAAAATCAGAATATCGGAAAGCAGTTGTATACTCACTGGTATTAAACCCAACCCTTCCACTGTGTGTTGATGGTGATCTTATTCCAAAATTTAGTCTGTGGTGCCACTTTCTAGTTCTTTTGAGTATCTTTTAAATCACTTTTAATTATTTACCATATGGTACACAAACTCCCATAGAGAATTACATATATAAATATATATATATACTGAGAAAGTTATTTGTCACTAGTTGAAAGATTTGAGTGGCTGATACGTGTACATTCTCAGCACATGCAATGTGGGCATGGCAAAATGTATAAAAGAAGTACTATCAGAACTGACTGTTTGAAGACTGAGATCTTTCTTTTGTTTGCATCAAACAGTAATGTGCTAAAGAATTACCATAGAACTATTCCATGAGTGTGAGTTGGCCATAAAGTCTAATCTCAAATCTAACAAGTGCAGAAATTGTTGTTAATGATGGAAAAATATTTGAGATTTCCTGTAGGTCAAATACAAATATTGCCATGTTATTTACCATAAACTAAGATCTAAAACTTACCATGTTAAATAAAAACATGACTATAACCATGTTTATGGATGGCCCAAGAATGTGTACCAGCAAGTAGGAAGAAGTAATGGTTATCAGGGAGTGAACAGCACACCAGCCTGGTTAAAACAAAAGGAAATGGCAGATTATTTCCAGCTTCAATGACTGCTTCTTAATACTTAACCTACAAATACCATATACCTTGAAGCTTGAAATTTAAAACTTCTAATTATTAGAACTTCTTGCAATTAGAACCGAGACCTTGATGTTTCTTTGTTCAAGTTCACTTGCTATGATCCCAGACAAAAGAAAACAATGCAAGTGGATTTACAAATTTGAATTACAACATTATTGTATCCACTGAATCTGATATAATAGTATTTATGACATTTCACGAGGAAATGTGAAGAAACAGGGTACATCTTACCATAACAGAAAAGAGCCAATGAAAGCCCACAAATGGTGAAATAGACATGCTGTAAAAGATCAGTATATAATTTAGGATGGTTTATAAATTAAACATTATCCACTCAATAAATTGATTACAATGTAAGTAAAAGATAGAGTCTGCAATGAAGCAAAGGGACTCTCCTTGCCACAATTTATTTCAGTTTCTGTAGAAAAAAATGACTGGGAGTAACACTACTCCCCTGGATGAGATGCTAGTAAATCAAAGATTACCTCCCCCTCCTTAAATAGCATTTCATCAAGCTTCCCTGACAGAGTGTCTCTACTTACTTATACTACTGGGTGGAGAGAGACATTGTGAGTGTCAGGTGTCTTGGCCAATAGCACAACACAACGACTCTGCCAGGCCTCAAACTGAGACTGGTCTCCCCTGAGTCCAGTGCACCACTAACATCCAGAAATGCATGCAGTAACAAAAATGGCAGTTTTGATGAAATTTCGTTTAACTAAGTGAATTTTCATGGATTTAATAGTTTTAGCACATTTTAATCAAATTCTTCAAAGCAAAATATCACAGAATTGATGATTTTGACAAATTTTAGTCAAATTCATCAAAGCAAAATCAGTCTGATGGATTTGACGACTTTGACAAATTTGTGCCATTTTCATTACTTCATGCATTTCTGGACATACCCAATATACTAAAGATAGGCCACCAGCCACAGCCGAATGACAAAAAACAAAAAACTTTGACTTACCTGAAGAACAGGTTTGGTTCTATAAAAAAATGCTTGATAAATGAAGGCCAAAGGATAAGCTAAAAAAAAATTACAGTACTTGTCATTTATAATCATCAATAGCATCTTTGATTTCTAATATATACATTACTGGTTGATTCATCAGACACCTTCCTACATTTACATGTATGTTAAGGTCAAAATGTGTTAGTGGATTGACATCATCCATCTATCACCTACCCACACCTTTCAAGCAGTTCTAATCGCTAGTTTATATCATATGGTGCAAAATCACTGGAACTTATCCTGCAGACTATCCCCTGCATACATCAATATTTGTATTTTGATTATTTCTGTCAAAAAGATACAAAGCCAGCTTGAAAAAAGGCAGCTCAAGAATTTCACTTTTCCATCTTTGTCACTTTTATAAAGAGTCAAAACAAATTTGTTTAGTGGAGTCCAGTGGTAGTTACATTAAAAGATTGATCTCAAATGCTTCTCCAGAAAGTACAAAAAAACCAACACAAGTTGCTGTGAATGCATGATACTAAAATTAATATGAGGGTTTTAAAATAAACAAACCCTCTTCTGGCTTGCTGGTATGTTGGCTGATAGTGTCCTAGCCAAGAGATTGTTTATATTTTTGTAACTTGGAGTGAATACTGATCGTCACTGTAAGGGACCCCAAAAAGATGTGTGACCAATAATCTCCATCTCTAAAGAACTGTATCTGGCATCTCAGTAGAGGTAAAAACCTTTATCAGAGAATGCTTACAGCTACTACGTTTTTACTGCTATCAGATTGCAGTTAACACTTGCTTGCTGATAAAACTAGCTTGAAATCACCTTTTTCTGAAATTCATTTGGAACTACAGCACACGTGCAGTGCCATAAGTCGAATGCTACGTTGCCTTCAATATTAGCCTATTAAGTTAGAAGCTATATTTTGTTAGCCTATGAAGTGATCTCATACAAAGCAGTTGGGTTGTGCACTGAAGCAGATAAGTGGTGCATTTGGTTTCATTCACTTGACAAGATGTGGCCAACCGATGAATCAAAGTTTGGTCAAGTGTGGAAAAAAAAAGTTATGAGGTCGAGGTCAACAAATTTCGTTACAAATAAATCAAGCTTTGACTGTCTGGTCGAGTCCTGTACCTTCGGCGGACTGCTTTAATAAGCTTGGTAACCGTACTTTCGTTCGATTTCAAGCGAATTAATTCTCTCCCAGTCCAGAAACAAATAAATCATAAATTACGTTTTCATTTGTACTGGTCGATCGATCAAGTGTGCCTCTAACTGTGACTCCTGCCATAAAATACCAAAACAAAAAAACCAACGACAAAAAAAAAAAATATACACGAAAAGAATAAACACTTGAGAGGAACGTGACTGTCTGCGATGCAAGAGACTATGACTAAACATAAAAAAAGATAGCTTTTTTCTAGGTAATAAATTTCAAATCTATAGTCGTTGTAACTCGAGATTCGACCCCATGATTGTCCAAGATGTAATCGTCATCTGGCAAATACTGCTCACCACAAACAATGTAATCAAAATTACCTGAGAATAACGCGATGACTAGACGAAGGGCAGCATCTGAAAACCCAGATGCCTTCACTAAAACATCTATACTACCGAAACCGCCACAATCCGCCATTTTATTAATGTTATCGACAATGGCACCTGGCGCCTGGAACCGAGGCAAAAGAAAAATATCGTGGATAGGGGGCAGGACAGGGTGAGCGATGATTACAACGATTAAGTTTATCCTCTTGTTATCTGTGATGTTTCATTATAAATCAAGATCATTTATTGTAAATTCCCATTCTTTTAGGAAGACTTCAACTCGACTCGATCTTCCTGAGTGTGATCGATTACCCATCACGTGGTCACGATGATGGCAGATCACGCGATCGCAGCGTGCTGCTGGCTGGATAGCTAACATTTGTCGCTGAACCAAAGAAAGCCATTAGATAGTCTAGATAGATGCATGTCCGTTTGGACGCAGTGAAGAGAGTCGATGACAGATTCGGGTGTCATACCTGATCTTTTGATAAAATGGCTGGCTAATAAATGAGCACTCGAAAAATGAACCTGAGCTAGTTCAGTTTTTTTTACCACGCGGGAAACCAACTTTGGAAGCCCAAGAGTGTTAGGCGCTATGGGAAGTTTTTATTCGACTTCGTATGCACCCGGGACGCGCTATACGGACGACTTGGAAAGAGTTTCATGCAGAATAGAGAAAACTACATTTTTTTAAAAATCTTAGTGTTCCTCTAAGTGGAAATTTAGACCTCTAAGAAGGACAGAGATGATTTGCCAAGAAAAGTGGATACAAAAATCTCGTCCAAAGAAGTACCTGGAAAAATTGCGGAAAAACTGTTGAGCCAAATAAACACTCTCTTTCAAACCATGCTCATATCACACACTTTTTCTGTCCCATTTCTTTTTCGTATACTGACAAGACGGGAGGTACCTGAGCTATTTCTCAACGTGAAGTAGTAACATTCTGCGAACAATGTGTCCCAAGAGGTTTTGTCTATGATTGTTGCCTTCCGAATTTCCAGTGTCATTACAGAGCCTCAGCTTGAAAAATAGGATCCAGCCCTATGAACTAGAAAGAAGAGAGGAGTAATCCGGTGTATAGTGCTTTATTTTGTGGCTTAAAACCAGGGGGAGATGCTGATTCGAAACCGGCTGCAAGGCCTTTGATCATACACTCATTGGCGCTACTTGACGAGCGTCTCGACCGCTTCTTGCGAGGCCTGCGGGAGGCCCGTGCCAGACCGCTCTCAGACTTTCCGCCGCGAACAAAGTGAGCCAACTCGCCTCTGTCAGACTTTTCAAGGATCGCGACATTCTAGAGGAGTTGCGCCAGAGAGAGTCTGCTCGTAAGCTACGAAGCCACGCCCGAAAAAACTAAAGTTTCCAAAAATCGTCATCGATATTTTTTGTGCTGTGAGGATTACCTTCAGACAATAAAATTTAATGTGATGAAAACTACGCGTGATGGCGGTTCATAGCGGAGAACAAAGCTGAGATGTCCAACTGAGCTGCCAGAGAGGAAGTTCCTATATTCTTTGAAAACTTTTATTTTTGATATGTGGGCAAGCGAACTCCAACAAAAAACGTACAAAAAAGCACTTTTGTTTAGCTGAAGCTAATGGAATTGGGAGGTCGTTTGAAAAAGCTACCTTACTTTCATTTGCGCATCTAGAGCCCACCTTTTATGGAGAATGTTACTTAAAAAATCGTCTCAATCTCATTCATGTCTGCCATACCAACCCCCGCTATTCCCCCTTGATTATTCATTTCTTCACTGGCTACAACCCAGTTAACATAACATTAACGTACCAAAGAGGCACAAAAAAAAAAAATACTCGTGAGTCGTCAACATTTTTCAATCAGATAGCACGATTAATTCGATCAAAATTCTCGTACAATCAGAGCCTTACATACTAACGCACTGCCGTAAGCATCTCGAACTTCGCCGATCGAACAGAAGCAGAAACTCGTGATCGGTGTCTTATGGCTAACAGGCGTTCAACTCTAACATGCGAAAAAGAAATAAAAGTATAAAAAAAACTGTGGAGGTGCTTTCCAGCCTGGCGTGCCAGTTGTCAAGTCAAACGAACTAACAGTGGGTGGTTGTTGTGTTTTCAGCTGCTCACTCAATACAACACAGTGCGAGCATAACTTACATCTAATATCGATCGGTTTATTAAAGCGCGGACGCATCGCAAGCCACAGGAGGCTCTGGGCAATTGTCCAGTGACTGTTGGAGTCTATAATGCATCGGTGATATGTCTTAATAACATGACACATTTTAGGTGAACGGAAAATAAATTGATAATAATAGCACTACCGCGGGGGTATTCTTTTACTTACGACTTCCTTTTTGCTTCAAAGGCACCTTAAGCTTGCTTGATTGCACAGTCTGCCAAAGGGTTTATGGGTGTCGACATATCAATGTAAATTTCCATCTGCCTTGAGAACTTTCAACTTTTTTCTTGCTATATTTACACAGAATCCGTTCGGATCATTTAGCTAAAAAACCCTTAGATAACTACGAGTACAACCCGTCCAAATATACGAATACCTTTCTTGAAAAGCTCGAAACATGGGATCGGCAAAAATAGATGGAAAACGTATTATGCAAATGTTGATTTCTTTCGTAATAGATTCAACTATAACATGATAGAAAGATCTTCCTGTGAGGGGGAATTCTGTATGGTTTTGAAAGTATTGTTGACTAATTCGTTTCTCGCGTGACTGTCTGTTTTTTCTCCTAATTAGAGTGGAGAACATTCGATCGTTTATCGGGAAAACCCACGAATTTATCTGATGTCACATGTCAGTTTGATCTTAGTCTAAGCAAACTCGAAATTAAACAAAAAGACACAGTTGATAAAACCGACTGATTTTAAAATGTTATCTCCACTAAACCTTAATTATTAATTTAAAGTAGTCCTTCGATTACAGGTTAAATTTCTGTAGACAGACATGATTGCTTATAGGAACGAAGGAACTCGTAGCTAAGCGGTAGAAAAAGCAAATGATTTATAGCTCATTACTGGAGTAGATCGTCTATAAAAATTACACCGCCCTTTGAATTCACTAAGAGGGATTATATTTTTCAAATCCAAATCATCTTCTAAAGTCTTTATGGACACTGTGCGCCAATGTTTTGAATAAAAGCCATTATAAAACGCCGAGGAGAAAGACAACTGCAGTTTAAGTTGAGTTCTTCATGATAGCTGACCGGGTAGAATTGCTCAAGTTTGTTTTGTAGGAATTTTATTTTCACGTGAATGTTTAATGATGGGTAAGCCGCCGACCTTCGTGTTTAGACAGCTATCAATTTCAATCAGTCTTAAGATCCTAATTCCATCCCAGCAAGGAACAAGGAAGCAGAACTTGGCACAGGTATAAAAGCCGATTATTAATTGATCAGTTTCGAATCCATCGTATGTTTTTCTTTTCGCTCAAATGACAAGCGCGTCACGAGAGGAACCGAAATAATCCAAGAGAGATCCAATAGGAATTATCAAAAGAGAAGCAAAATGTGCATATCAGTGACGGTAAGGCTTAGAAACAATGGACAGATGTTATGTTTTTGTCTTTAATCTCGCTTACACTTCAGCATTTTGAAGTGCTCTTTGCAGGGTGTCTTTTACCTTCAGAAAAGGTCTTTCTTGGCATTGCCCACGGCAGACTGTAAAAATTGAGCTCTTTAAAATTCATGCAAGGAAAAACTAACGTCGAAAAATGTTACACAAAAAGCAGGCAAAGAGCTTTGGAAGGGATGTACATGATCAATGGTTAAATAAGCCAAGAGTGTTTCATTGTCAAAGGACGACTGTCAAACCGTCTCCCATTTCTCTCATGTCTTTTCCTCCTGTTTCCAACAGACCTGCGCTTTCTACTTCTCAATACAAAACAATCCAAAATCCTAGGAAAATCGACACAAACATCCTGGTAGAAAAGGAAGTCACAGAGGCAAACTGAATTTTTACAAAAATATACTGTTTTTAGTGAAAATAACCATTTATATTTACCTTGATTTTATTGGTCTCTCCTTCCATTGAAAATATCGATGAACAACGGACAGCAATGAAAAAGTATAACTTAAGTTTTTAACCAGAAAATAAAACTGCAATGGTCTTTCATAATTGCATATGCATTCCCTGAAAAATTTAGTAGTCTTCACAATCTCTGTTAACCTTCAATACACCAGAACTGTAATGAAAGCTTAAGGCTTTTGTCAGCAAACATCAATGAGTGATGTTTTCAAGTCTCCTGAAGGAGTCTGAATATAATGGGATCACAAAAAAAAAGTTCTTTGCAATTTCTTAATGATAGATTGAAGGTGTACAGCACATTTAATGTTCCTCAAAGCAAGTCTAAAAATGAGTGATGGAAATTGGTAGTATGAACTGTAAGGATAGGTGTTTCAATGCACTTGTTACCAGTAAGGAACTAACAAGGAGACAAATTAAGTAAAAATCCATTTTTTTAATCACTACTGTGGGCAGTTTAACTAGGAAATATTGTAACAAATAACATCTAGATTTTGAACCTTTTCAGCCCTTGAAACTGGAAAATAAGCAATTGTGGGGTTGCGCAACATAAAATGGTAAATGAGTAAATTAAAAAAAATTAAAATTTTTTAAACATCTTAGACAAACTTCTTAATAGAGGTGTGAGATATCCATGACTTTTTGAGAAATCAGCCAGCTTTATATATTTGGAAGAAATAGTTCATATTGATTTCTGTACTTCTCTGTAACACAACAAAAGTAAAATACTAATATTAATAGAAACTACAAAAAAAAACATTTAAATCTGACTAACACTTTGGGAAAATAGCCAATACCATGATTAATGAAAATTACTAGTCAAATGAAAGCTTTGGAAAAAAACCCCAAGACTGATGCTTTAAAGATTTACACCTCAACCCTTTACATCCTTACATTAGCATTCATATGTTCCACACAGTTCTCCCAACTTTCCTATGTTACTGACAAGGATTATTTTTTGGAAATAGATAAAGAAAGATGGAAAGTTTTGAGCTTGGTAGAGAAATAGAGGACAAAGTTTTTTTCCTCCTTATTACGAGCATAGAAAAAAAGAAAAAATGAGTCCCCACAAGAAATCAAACCTAAGACCTTCAGATTCCACACTCTAATGCTCTACCACTTACCCACAGAGACTCTGTGATGTGCAAGGCTCATTACGAAGTTCATATATAATAAGGGTCCTTCATAACTACAACTTATCATCTTCTTATCCAGTTTACAAAACATGATGCTATCAACATCGCTGATCCTACCAGTGTGCAGGATGCTTGTCATACATGAGTTTCATAAGGGGCTTTGTTTACCATTGAGTCTCTGTGGCTCAGGGGTAGAACACTGAAGCGCCTCAGATGGACTCAGAATTTTCTTTTTGTCCCACACTTGAGACATAGAGAATTTGTTTGACAATCAAGAGCTTCTAAACTTGGAGATCATTTCCTAAATCTCATGACCTCAACATTTAAATCAAGGGTGATACTGTATGGAAACATAAGAAGCTAGTCTAAAGGGTTAAACTTCCCTATTTTTCTGCAAAATACAGTAAATGGCTGCCAGTGTGTCAGCTACCCTTAACAGTTAATATTTAAGTGACGTATCGCCGGGTAAATTAGAAACTTGACGTATGTTAACACTCAGTAGCACTTGAATAAAACGA